TTAGAATAGAATTCTGTAACCAAGACGACGCGTGGAAGACTCGACTGTTGGTACGTAAGTTAGGAATTAATGAACATGCACGCTATGCTGACCATATATTGCCTAAGTTACCTCGAGAGCTCAGTTTCGAGGAGACGATAATTCAATTGTCAGAGATATTCGGTGAATCCTCCTCATTGTTTAGTATTCGACATCAGTGTCTAAATTTGGTGAAACGCGAAGCCGATGAATATGGTGTTTTAGCAGACATCGTCAACAGAGAATGTGAACGGTTCAAGTTACGCTCGTTGTCAGAAGACCAATTTAAATGCCTAATATTCATCAAAGCTCTTCAGTCACCACAAGATACTGAGATCAGGACTAGACTTTTGGCTCGACTGGATCAAGACCCAAACGTCACACTCAGAACGTTGACAGATGAGTGTAAGCGGCTACAAAGCATCAGACACGACAACAAGTTGATTGAACAGGTAAATCCTAATTTAACCTGCAGTAGTGTCAATGCTATTACTAGGTTAAAAGTTAAGAAGCCGATAACAACTCGTAATAAACCAACGACTGCATGCTAGTTATGTGGTGATTGGCATTATGTACGATTCTGTCCATTTAAAAAGCATATATGTCAGGTGTGCAACAAACGTGGACATAAAGAAGGTCATTGTCCACCGAAACATACGTCTCATCCCAAAAAGAAGCATAAACGTTCTCGACATGTGAAATCAGCCGAGCCTAACTCCCTTTTTCTGGTAGCTGCCTTTCAAACAAACTATGACATTCGGAGAAAGTATGTTACCATCCAGATAAACGGCATATCAGCTCGTCTTCAAATTGACACGGCATCAGATATCACCTTAGTATCTAGAGAAACGTATAACTTGCTGGGTAAACCGCCAATGAAGCCATCTAAGAAAACGGCCAAAAACGCATCAGGTGGTGTGCAAAAACTGGTTGGTGAATTACAGTGTGAATTTTCCTTCAATGGAACTAACTGTACAGGAATATGTTACCTAACAGAACGGCCAAACCTTGATCTTCTTGGTCTAGATATGTTAGATAAACTTGGAATAATGGATGTACCGATTAACAGTGTCTGCAACGTATTGTGTTCATCATTAGACACCCCAGTACTTGCAAAGAAGACAGGTGAAAGGTTACTAGAAAAACTGAAAAGAAAGTTTGCCTCCATAGCAGTAGACCCAGAAATACGAAGTATAGTGGCAGATGCCATTCGAAACACTCCAGTGTCGTCAGATGAAGTCAGAGAAGAAACTCTTCGAGACCCGATTCTGCAAGAAGTTAGAAAGTTCCACCTGGAAGGATGGCCCGCGAAGATCAGTTCCACAGAGCTTCAACAGTTTTACCAGCGTAGACTCTCTCTCTCAATCATCGACGACTGCCTGCTGTTTGCAGAACGTGTCATAATCCCAAAGAAGCTACAACCAGCAGTGCTTGAACAGTTGAACGCAGGACATCCTGGGATAAATCGCATGAAAGCATTAGCACGAAGTTATGTATACTGGCCGCATTTAGACACTCAACTGGAGCAGCTATCCCGTTCATGTACCAAATGTGCATTAGCAACGAAAGCACCGCGAAAAGCAGAGCTGCAATCATGGCCAATACCACAGTCACCGTGGCAGCGTATACACTTGGACTTTGCTGGTCCACTTCATGGACAAACTTACCTTTTGGTAGTTGATGCATATAGCAAGTGGCCAGAAATCTTTCTCATGGAACACCCGACTGCAAGCTGCACAGTCAGTAAGCTACGTCAACTATTCAGTCGTTTCGGAGTCCCGGAATTGATAGTTAGTGACAACGGAACACAGTTTACGTCCGTAATTTTCTCACAATTTTGCCGGCAGAACTGAATCCATCACGTCCGAACACCTCCATTCCATCCCCAATCAAATGGTCAAGTGGAACGCTTTGTGAGTACATTTAAAAATGCTCTAAAAAAATCTAAAGAGGAGGGGACCACCGAAGAGATCTTAGAGAGGTTCCTGCTTATTTATCGCTCGACACCGAACCCTCAGACGATTAAGGGGGTCTCTCCAGCAGAAGCTCTACTTGGCAGAAAAATACGAACACATTTCGATGTCATCCGTCCTACGCCAGCTCTTGAGCCTCAACGAAACCTATCTATGGAGAATCAGTTCAATCGACATCATGGGGCACAAAAACGATTGTTCACGGTGGGACAAAAAGTACTTGCTATGGACTATCGTGAGAAACATCCTACATGGACAGCTGGTCGGATCTTGAAAAAGAAGGGGAGTGTGGTTTATGAGGTGTCAGTTGGCTCAGAAGTTTGGGTACGTCATGCTAACCAATTGAAATCAACTTCGATAGCCAGCAATGAGATTCAATATCGATTACCTCTTGATGTTCTGCTAGACACCTTTGAAATCAAAACGCCTGGAACAGACAGGTCAGTTTCTGTGAAAGCAAAGAGTGATACTTCTTTATTGCCTAGACGATGGACAAATCGAAAGCACAGGCCAGTCACTCGGTTGCAGTTGGACCCTAGCACCAGATCCTACGAATCTGCTCAGAGGGGAGGTGTTAGTGGGACATAGATTGGATTTAAGCATGCTCAATGCACGATTGCTTTGGCGCACGCTGATTGGCTGATTCTTATCCAATCAGCGCTAGTCTATACATGGAGAAGCTTCTAGATTCTTCTTATGTAAAAAGCTATAAATATACTAACGGTTTTCCTATTTTGCTTCTTGCTTCACCTAACCTTGTTATTTGGAATATAATCTTCCTGCTCAATCGTGTTCTGATTTGGGGCCTTGTCGAGTGAATCTGTGACCGTGAATACTAAGCGATAGGAATAGCTGGGTTATAACCGTAAGAGCGAAAATATAACACTAACTGAATACATCAAGACTAAGATTATCAGTATTTTCATCACCACCTATTCACTTTAGTAAATGATTATAAACTAGAAAGTCAATTATCCCCATTAAACTATTTGAATTATCACTAATAAACAACACAATGTGAAGAAATTATGCTAGGATATATATATAGGGGAATGGTATTCAAACCATCGTGCAAATCTAAGATTCATCGGACAAGTAATAGGAGAACGCTAAGCTAAGTGGGTGAGACTATAATTTATGGACGACTCTTGAACGACACTAAAGTGATCTCGATAACATCCATCTACTAAATAGGACTACATGAGGGTTTTAGAACTGTGAGTTGTAATTATAATTTAAAGTTGATGTTTAGGGTTAGGAATTGGATTTAAGATTTTCATCACGAAATGACATAAGCTAAAATGCTGAAACGCTATTTAGCCAAATCGATGAATGAATTTCGCGCTGAAATCCAAGACCTATTACCCCAAATCTGATCGGTTCGTTCATAAATTATAGTCTCGCCACTCATTATTTACAGTGAAATCTTGTCATCAACACTACGTGAATAGTAACTAACGCACCACTCTATATTCCACGTAATATATTAAATTAATAATTGACTATGCAAAAGCGATTTGAATACTCAAACAAATTGCAAGTGAAGTAACATTCACTTGTACTCTTGATTGTTCACTTTTTATATGCAAAGTTATTCATAACTGGTAATATTTTGTATTATAATAATTATAACAAATTTAATCACCCATAGATATTTATATATAGTGTAAGTCGATGGTTTCGACTTCAGTAATAAATTCTATGATTAAGTTCATGAGTCAATTGAAGCTAGACCACCATGGAAAACCTAGAAGCACTGGATGGCCGTTTCGTCCTAGTATAGGACTCCTACTTAGTAAGATTCAAACCCAACACTTGTCTGTCTCACCCGCGAACGCTTAACCTACTAGACCACTCGGCCGGCATCCAATGGAGTTAGTATCTAACATCAACCAATTCACGAAATTACGCGACCATCTTCCATTGTACTGAGGTAGATAACTGTCCCTATCCGACACGCATTAGCTCCACTGGTCACGGCTTCTCACTAGGACTCCGAGAATTCTCTCAAGAAGGTAGTCACTAGTGAGCACATGTTAATTATCAGTATAAGGGGTTGCGAAGATTATTAAGTTTTTGATTGAGATCATGAACCGATAGGACCAAACGGCCGTCCAGTGCTTCCAGGTTTCCAACGGTGGTCTAACATCAATCGGTTCATGATCTCAATCAAAAAATTCTATTTCAATTAGTGAATACATAAAATTTAAGCATTTGAATATTTTGATGTCATATACTTTGTTCCAATTACTTATTGAGTTTAGTAATTATAAGAACATTCATAAGGAACTGATTTTCCACGGATTCATCACTCTTAAACACTAACTATAGGTATACCTGTTTAAAATAAACCATTCTCGATATATTTGCGATTGTACAGCTTTGAAAATGAATTCGCCGAAAAGAGAACTTTTCGCTGAACTAATCTTTCTTCTTTAATGTCTTAATGGGTGTATTCCGTTTATTCTCAATTGGATAATATGATATACTTTTTATATTTAACAATTTTAAGTTTTATTTTTAAATGACAAAAAAGAAAAGGAATTTGCTTAAAAAAGCTTGTGATATATCGAGATAATTCGCGTAGGATGCATATATGACAACAAGAGACTGAACAATTGTAGTCTTAAATAACAATAGAAAGGTATAAGTAAAACAACAACATTTAAACTTCATCGCATTGCACAAGCAAGTGGCTATCAGGACTCAATTGCTAAGTGGATAACGCGAACGGTACTTAGTTCGAGTCCAAAAGTCAACACTAATTACGGGATGCGGGTACATCCAGCTGACAAGACCCAAATAGGACGAAATGCACGTTCTGGATTTCGCTGCTAGCCACTATCCATCTTTTCTTAAAAAGCTTGTGACTTATGGCTATATAGAAGCAATCCACAAAGGATACACATATACCAATAAGAGACTAATCAACAATAGGAAAATATAAATAAAAAAACAATACCGAATTAAATCATATAGAATATTTATATAATTAAATAGCTTATTTACCTTAACAAGAAATATGAATTATTCACATTTTTTATACATAATATATTATCAATGAGATCGTTGTATATTTTCCAATTATTTATAATGATTGAATCATTTATATAATCAATAGATTGAATTTTCATTTTAATTAAATTAATGAAACATTCTAATATAAAATCATGTTCATTGAAATCAATTGAATTGATTTCTTTCACCTTTAGAATAGTAATAATTTTATTAAACATTGGAATGATTACATCATCCATTATGTAATCCATTAAAGTAATAATAGTATTATTATTAGTATTATTATGATTATTCAATTGTAATTGTAAGTGATTAAATAATTGATAGAAAAATTTTATTTTTAATTTATAAAATTTTGTATCATTTATAAATTGATATAAAATTTGTTTTAATAAATTCAATTTTTGATTCTTAATTAAATTCATTAAAAATGTATAAATAATATAATAATAATAATCATAACTATTATTATTATTGTTATTATTATTATTATTACTATCAGTATTAGTAAGAGTAGGAGGACGAGGAGGAGGAGTATTGGAATGATTCGAAATGAGTGATGATATTAAGTAATATAATTTAAACAATAGATCAAATATCCATTCAACATATTGATCATTCAATAAATAGATAGAAGAAATTGATGTTATATGTACATATATAAATTTTAATAACAAGCGATAGATAATTGGTAGGTTATTGATAGTAGTAGTATCATTATTAGTAGTAGTAGCACTAGTATTATTATTAATGAGTAATGTAGTAATGTTTGTTTGTGATATAAAATAATATAATAAAACAATAAAATAAGGAAATCCATTATTATTATTTACAATTAAATAATTGCTTATTTGTTTATTATGATGTAATAAATGTTTATCTAAATTATAAAGATTATGAAACAAACTCATATAATAATAATCATTATTATTATTATTATTACCATTACTATTATCATTATTACTATTATTATTATATTGTGTATTCATAGTGCAATTACAATCATTCACATTAATATTGGATCCATTTGTAAATTGTAAATTCATTAAAAATTTATTAATTTCATTATGCCATTGATTGTCTATATAGAAATATTGAGGATTTATATAGATAAGATATGTAAGTGTATCAATTATAGTTATTTTTAAAGGAACATATTCAATAGAATCATTTGAAATAAACCATTGAATTAACATTTTCTTTAAATTTAATAATAAATTATTATTATTGATAATGAGATCAATATCGGAATGTTGACAATATTTTATACAATCATATGTAATCGATAAATTTTCACAAATGATTAACACAGTTACTAAGTGGGAATTATCTCTGAAACAAGAGAAAAAGATCAAAAAAAATAGAAGTTTATTGATATAAGATATTTTGTAATTAAACAATTTGAAAAGAAATATAATTAAACATTTATGAAGATAATCAATGCATGATGATCTAATTCTGCTAATAGAAGAAAGTCATTTACGTACAACGTAGAATAGGCACATATATGCATCGGTCTAATTTCTCATACCCCATTAGCACAACAAGAAGAACACTGAATTCATAGAATTAGTTAAATCAATGGTAGTTGTTATGTTCTAGCAAAGATTGAATTATGAGTAACTTCTGAGACCTATTACGGACAAATATTATCTATATATTCTCATTGTATAACGAATTAGTAGCTAGATTATGTATATCTATATTTATCTTACTATAAGCTTCATTTTCATCTATAGATTATTATTGTACGATTTACTGTTCGTAAGTTATACTCAGTTTATTAATTACTGTCTCCCACATTCACAGCCACGTTTTGGCTTATTTGTGTATGAATGTTATTTCCTATTTTATGGTGTGTTGCAGTCTGTTTGGTTGATATACAAACACAGCATGTCTGAAATAAATGATTCGAATAGTGGAGGCAGTTATTGAAATTCTGGAATTAGCTGGATGGGCCATCCGAGCAAAGGACCAATAGGGACTCTAGGCTGACCAGACCGGTCGAACGTCATTGGTTTAGTACAGTATTAGAGCGAATAAGTCGTATTTGGATTGGCGAATAGATTACATGATAACTAGTAGGCCATAAAGACACAACAGTAGTAATATATAAAAGAAGGATAGAATATAAGCATATACTACAGGAAGAAAGATTTCGTACGTAGAAAGAAAGATATGAAGTGATTTTAATCTCTTAGTTTAAGGGAAGACAGAGAGTGTATACATCGACCCCATTGTGATCGATTCTGAGCCATGTCACCCACAGTCTCCGACCACTGGTTACGATAGTCACACGGACCCCAACCAAATAGTCTGCATCTACTAACATGGCTAAGACTAGAAGTTGGTGAAATTATAGACTGATGCCACGTTTTGGTTTGGAGGCCCCTATTTTTCTTCCAACCATCCCCAACACTATTCAGCATTGCGCTTCGTGGTAATTGGTGTTCAGACATATGTAACACATGGCCCAACCATCTCAGTCTATGAAGATTCACAACTTCCCTAATAACCCGCGCCTAACCACACTATTACTTACCCGGTGATCCCAGCAAACGCGACTAACATTTCTGAGACATCTGTGGTCAAATATTAGTAGCTTACGAATATCTTCTACACTTAGTGGCCACGTTTAGCAGTCGTAAAGTAGAACAGAACGAACTGCCGCGCAGTATACTTGTCCCTCAACTAATAGATGAATATCTTGCCTTCGCCATAGGTGACGTAAGTTGGCAAAAGCCAAACGAATGCGAGCTGAGATTTCGTCAGACTCCAACCTGTACCACACCACATTAACATAAAGATACAACTGTCGATTCAAATCCCAGAGTGGTAGAGATAGTAGTAGTATAAGCAGTAATCGTAAAGATTGGAAATTGTGTATTTAAATACCTTTAAGATAAAACTGTGAAGGTTAATATGGAATGGTGTCATAGTGTATGAAGTACTCAACCTGAATAGTTATTTTGTCTCATATACATCAATTAGAGAAACTATCAAGTATCGTTTCGATTACAATCTTAAAACATAGACCTGTGTAGGTGGTAAACTCTATAAAATATTGTTTTGATCAAATGCTTTATTAAAAATCGATCGACCAAAATCACAAAAATTCAATTACGAAATCATTCCAAGTACATTACATCTCTCTTCATCACCTACTTACGCCTGTTACTCCTCGTGAAGGAGCATAGGCTGCTCACCAGCACTCTCCATACAACCCTGTCCTGAACAATTCTTTCCAGCTTTTTCCAGTTGTCAATCAACCTTTTCATATCTACTTCTATTTCCCGACATAATGTGTTCTTTTCTGTCTTCATTACATCATAAAATTTTGTTCTACTATCGCTTTCAATCGATTGTATCATTACTTGCCATTTCTAACTTTCTTCTAAATTAATAATCTTATCTTAACTAACTGAGTTTTGTTTGCTTTATTCTTATATATTACTAGAGTTTATTTATGTTGCGTGATCGCTTGTATCCAACTCATTAGGATTCTGTTACTATCGTATTGCTATAGGATATACATTACGCAAATCACTAAACTCCATCACGAGACAAGCGCCAACTTGGAATTCTGAAGGGAAGAAGAAAAGACGAAGGCCAAAGAACACATTACGTCGGGAAATAGAATCAGATACGAAAAGGATGAATTACAACTGGGAAGAGTTGGAAAGAATTGCGCAGGACAGCGTTGGATGGAAAATGCTGGTGAGCGGCCTGTGCTCCTTCACGAGGAGTAACAGGCGTAAGTAAGTATTGTTATTGAATGTTCTTCCATATTAAATACATATTTGTAATATTCTTTACTTAATCTCATAAAACGCAAATATATTTTTTTCCAGTTAAATTCGTCTTAAATTCCTCTTGAACTTTTATTCTCGTCCTCTTCAAGATATAGTAATATGAATACTAATACTAATAATAATAATATAACTAAACATGAAATTGGTTGCTACTTAGTGATAAAACAGTCGTTTGTGAAAGTACTTGATTACTAAAGCTAGAAAACTTTTAGTCAAGTTTGAATCAACAGTTATGCTATTGAAGGACAAATACTTTAAGTACGAGGACATCGCTCCAGACACACACACACACACACAAAACATTCCAATCCTAAACTTTACAAAGAATCACTGTTAATTGATATAGTTACAACTCTAGGTCAGAAAATATCACTTAGCTTACTTACTGAGTCCTAAAAAACTTTTCATAAATCGAAATAATGACATTTTCTAGTTCTGTTAAAATATTAATATTGAATGTTGCTAATACATCACTGTATTGAATTGAATATTCTTCATTCATATGTATGATAAACTGGATAATATTGATATATTTACAAAGAACAGTCAATATATGAGGATATGTGCAGAATTGGGGAAGTTCAGTAGTCATATGCTTTGTTAAATAAATTCTCAATAAATCTATATTTGAACAATTCCAATGCTTAGGAGACAGAACGTGTTGATGAGGAATTGATGTAGACTTTGAACAATCAAAAGGATGAAGATTATGTTCAGTAGGTGATATGTAATTTTCACTACAAAAGATATTGAACAAATCACTCAGATGGGTTTTTATTAAAACATAATGGTTTGATATAAATTGTGAAAAGTGTCTAAACATGCCGCAATTCTATAACAGACATAATCACTATCAAATCAAGCAAATTTCACTACACTGAATGCAATATAAATATTTGTTTTAAAGTTTCACATCACAAGCTTGCTTTGGTTAGACAATCACTGAAAGTACTGCACATCTGCTTTGTCCTAACATGGCACTCCTTGAAGATGAGTAATCACAAACCTATCATAGATTGAATTCGGGACATTCAGACTTCACAATAAGCCCTTAACCTTTAGACTATTAAGTTGGATTACAAGTAAAAATCATTGAAAACAATCAAGTGTGACCAAAATATTAAAATGTCTTCCGAATTTTTACTTACCTTAGTTAATTAATGCTCCTTAAAGGTAACTAATTACTGAAAATTTACTAAATAATATTACGTTATCCTATTTTATTACGTTGTCTTATTTTAAGACTTCTTAGCAGTGAGCATCCCCCACAACGCCTCGTGAGATTCGAACCCAGAACCTATCAGTCATGGAGTTCTAGTGAGGAGCAGTGATCAGTGGAGTTCAACCGGGTCTGTTGTGAGATAGTAACTCACTGATGACAATGATGGATGTGTCGCCCAGTCTCGTAGATTTGTTGAAGTTCGATACAAACACCGTTGGATGCCGGTTAGCTCAGTGATCAAGTGGTTAAGCGTTCACGCGCGAGACTGATATGTCCTGAGTTCGAATCTCGCGAGACGGAGTAGTGGATGCGCACTGCTGAGGAGTCCCACGATAAAACAAGTTGGCTATCCAGTGCTTTCAGGTTTTCAATGGTGGTCTAGCTTCAATTGACTCATAGTCTCAACTATTGGAAGCATCTTATGTACGTTTGGAGAATATACATAAAAGGTCAACATAAAGAAAATATACTTACTGTTCAAAATCACGAATGAGATTAATAAAATCGATTCTTTCAATCGATTTTTTGAAATTTGATGAGGTAATATTTCTTTTGATTGCAGATTTATATTGGCGCTTTCTAGTTCTCAAAGGAAATTGATCCATAGAATTCGTATCTTTAATAAAGTCTGAATATGATACATCATCTTGAAAAGAACTACCTTTCTTTTCATATATACAGATGGTTTTCAAGTTTAAGGCGTGCTTATAGCACCTGCAATTATATTTCCTACTGAAATCACAGCCTGGCGAAAAAATTCGATGTTCGTGTGAATCTAGAACAAAATACAATTACTTTAGGTTACGTATTTTAAGAAGAATAAGTTTGCTGGAAAGAAATGTGAACAGCACAACTTTTAGGTGAGAATAGATGTGATGTACAATGAGCTGGTAGGGAATAATATTCCTTACGAGAATAATATTTTTAAAACCTGAAACTAAAGTGCTAGTCAATTATAAACGAGAACATGGCAAACATGTGCACCATCCCCATCTTGCCATATTACGCTGTCACAGACACAGAATTGCCAATATCAAATTAGACGAATTGTACCAAAGCAGAAGTAATAAGCGACTTCTGAAGGGATAATCATCCTTCGGTGGTCCAAATACAAAGGAAATGCTGAAAGTCTGAATTTTGTCTCACAGTTCAAGCTACATTCCTTATAGAGAAAATGAAATAAGTCAAAAAAGTTGGGATTAATGCATAAACATCAAATCTTGCCTGTACATCGGGAAACTAGAACATACCTACGATATATATATATATATATATATATATATATATATATATATATATATATATATATATATATATATATCGTTATTTATTATGAAAACAAAAGCTAGACTTTTAGTGAAGTAATGGTTACACGTTTAATCAGTAACAAAAATACAAATATGTTTTAATCCCATAAACTTTAAATTTTAAAGCACGGATAGATTTATATCAATAACCAACAGCCAGAAGTACCTAAAGTATACAAAAAGGGAAGAAATTCGGGTGTGTTTAGATACGTTCAAGATATGAAATGGGTTAATGTACTCAACTAATACGCTTCCAGTGGTTATGGAAATCACTAGCATATCACTGATCCGAAACGTTTCATGCTTATTTGTAGAAGAAAGCTTTGAGAATTTATAAATTGGTGTTAAAAGCGCTATGAAGAACCACACTTTCGAGGTTTTTGTCAAACAACATTGTGTGATTTCTAAATTCTGAAGAATTAATTTCACTGGGAAGTAGAAGTGTTAAAGCCCATTATGCTATAAGGTGCAGTCTGTATTCCGACCGCAGCTCCTACCTTGACGTGGTGGTCGGGCTTGCCTATCGTGATGACTCAACCGAGTTATATTGGCTGGAACGTATGTCCCTGTAGGTTCTGCCATGCCAGGCAGGTCGATTGGAGAACGGTAAGACTAAAAGCAGCAACTCAAGGTCTGAAGGCGAAGTCGTACTGCTGACTGTACAGAGGTGTGACAGCAGTAAGGTGTTTCCCTCGGACAACCAGCATCTGCAGCGATGCTGCCTTCTCACAAGGAAGGAAGGGGTTAGAAAAGGTTGACCCTGAAAATGTCATACCTCACCTTACCCCACGGATTTCCGTCTCCGGCGGTAAGGCCCTTTGAAGAACGGAGCTAACACATTAAAAACCTCACACAAAAAGACCGTGCGCGACCGGCCTCAAGCAGTTGTCCCTTGGGCTCTGCGGTCACGCTCCCAGGTCTTCAAGACCAACACTAATCTGATTTCCTTTTCAGGTTCCTCAAGAAATACCCTTCCACGATGTGGGCAACCGGGAAGTGACATCAGCCTTCATACCCGTAACAGCACACGAGACCAAGTTGGTCACATTCAAATCCTTCCTACACCTAATAACTCTCTTATCTCCACGACCAACCCTTCTCACGTCCCTTTATCACCTCGCCCCGCTAGGACAAAAGATTCGAGTACGCGGAATGTTATTCCAGGTCTCCTGAAAACACGCTCTAAATTACACGTAGGAACTTTCAACGTCCGAACACTGTGCCAAATAGGACAACAGGCTTGCTTAGCTAGGACTTTAGAATCTCGCTCCATCGATGTGTGCTGCGTCTCTGAAACGCGCATACAGGATTCAAGTAGTGTCACTCATTTGACTTCACCATGTCAAAGTAACGAACCAACTCGATTTACTCTTCGTGTATCTGGAAGCCCTGATGCTGCTTCCCGTGGCCTCGCTGGCGTAGGTATAGCATTGAGTCCTCTGAACTTCTTCAGAAAGCTAAACGTTCAGACATAGGACTCGTAGCAGGCGACTTTAATGCCCAGGTAGGTAGCTTAAACGAAACAGAAAGACATTTAGGTGGGTATTTTAGTATTCCGGCACAGAGAACAGATAATGGTGATCGTCTGCTGCAACTGTGCTCAGACAACCGTTTATTTTTAGCAAACACAAATTTTAAGCATAAGGTCTATTGCACTGATAGATTCTCGTAAACTCATCCCATCAGGTTCTGAACACGATGAAGAGCGTAAAGAAATCAGATCTAGGTTAAGCAAAAGTCTACGGAACGATCGTGAGCAGTGGTGGGCAACGAAAGCAAAAGAGATGGAAAAGGCGGCGGCTATAGGGAACACAAGACAACTCTACAGACTAATAAAAGAAACTGGAATTAATAAGTCAAGTGTAAGTCAGACCATTTCGGAAAAAACGACACTCATCTGCTCCCAGTCCAGAGGCTTAGAACGATGGGTGGAACATTTTAAGGAGCAGTTCAGTTGGCCTTCAGCTACTCTACAACTACCCTCTATTCCCAGACAGTATGAATGGAACATTGAAGTAGGTCCACCAAATCTAGCTGAAGTTCAAAAGACTATAGCTAATCTGAAACGAGGAAGGGCAGCTGTTCCAGACGGATTGGCCCCAGAGGTCTTTAAGGATGGTGGTCTAGTTTCAGCGATTAGGTTGACTAATATTTTAGCTAAAATCTGGGAGTTAGACGTTATCCCATCTAACTGGCCACAATCACTTATCGTCCCAATATTTAAGAAAGGGTCAAAATCATCCTGTGACAACAACAGAGGGATTAGTTTAACTAATATAATATCTAAAATACTAGCTTCGATAATTTTCGGACGCCTAACTAAGACTCGTGAGTTGCAAACACGTGAAAATCAGGCTGGCTTCAGACCTGGTCGTGGCTGCATCGACCACATATTCACCATTCGTCAGGTTCTAGAACACAGGCATACTTATCGGCGTCCGACAATAGTGGTCTTCCTTGATTTAAAAGCAACGTTTGACTCTGTTGACCGAGAAGTTCTGTGGCAGTGTCTGTCATTGAAAGGCGTACCTCAGAAGTACATAAACCTTGTGAAGGCTCTTTACTCTAATACTACTAGTCGAGTCAGAGCTTATGGCGAACTGTCATCTGCTTTCGCAACCTCAAGTGGCGTCCTCCAAGGCTGTCCACTTTCTCCATTTTTGTTCAACTTCATCATAGATCTACTGATGGAAATAACGCTCTCATCGACTGAATTCTCAGGTATTGATCTCCTACCAGGAGGTCCACTTATTGACTTAGAATACGCAGAAGACATAGTCCTGTTTGGTGAAGACGCTGATGAAATGCAGAGTCTTTTGGTAGCACTGAGCAACAATGCCAGAATGTTTGGGATGCGCTTCTCTCCCTCCATTATATTTATAAATGTTGATTTATCCCCACCAAATCTGCTGTTTTGAACTGGTATAGAAGTTGTTTGCTTGAACAGTATTGCTCAAAGACAGTTGTAAGCAAATGTACTTTGATTATGAATAATTTTATTTCCATTATATTTATAAATGTTGATTTATCCCCACCAAATCTGCTGTTTTGAACTGGTAGTCTGGTTCGCTCTAAGATGCTGTCCAAAACATCTGAATAAATACAAATATATTTATGTTACCAATATCTGTGTGACTCCAGACTGCTCCTGACCGTTGTTGCGACCTTGACGTGGTGGTCGGGCTTGCCTATCGTGGTGAAGCAACTGAGCTATACTGGCTGGAACAACCGTTCCTCAAGGTCCTACCATGCCAGACAGGTCGGTTGAAGAGCGGTAAGACTAAAAGCAACAAAACCTAGGTCCGAAGGCGAAGTCGTACTGCTGACTGTACAGAGCTGATGAAATGCAGAGTCTTTTGGTAGCACTGAGCAACAATGCCAGAATGTTTGGGATGCGCTTCTCTCTCTCCAAATGCAAGTTGTTGCTTCAGGACTGGTCTGCGTCAACACCTGAACTAAGGATAGGGGGTGAAGTAGTCGAACGCGTCGACAACTTCACTTACCTTGGTGTCTGACGAAATCTCAGCACGGATTAGAAAAGCTCGTTTGGCCTTTGCCAACTTACGTCATCTATGGCGTAGGCGAGATATCCGTCTATCAATTAAGGGACGAGTATACTGCGCGGCAGTTCGTTCCGTTCTACTATACGGCTGCGAAACTTGGCCTTTAAGAGTAGAAGATATTGGTAAGTTACTAGTATTTGACCACAAGTGCCTTAGAAATATTGCGGGTATCTGCTGGGATCCCCGGGTAAGTAATAGTGAGGTTAGACGCAGGGTATTAGGAAATGATAGTAAATCAGTTGATGAGGTTATGAACCTTCATCGACTGAGATGGTTGGGCCACGTGCTGCGTATGCCTGAACACCGATTACCACGACGCGCAATGGTAACCGGTGTTAGGGATGACTGGAAGAAAGTTGGGGGCGGCCAAACCAAAACGTGGCATCAGTGCTTGAAGTCACTAACTTCTGGTCTGAGCCATGTTGGTAGATGCAGACTACCTGGTTGGGGTCCGCGTGACTATCGTAACCAATGGTTGGAGACTCTTGGTGACATGGCTCAGAATCGATCACAATGGCGTCGGTGTATTCACTCTCTGTCCTACTTAATGATAGTCAAGCTAAGAGTATATTTCAGGAACAACTAGAAAAACAGTTAGGCACCCATGTAAGTGATGCCCACCCCGAGGCAGTGTGGAATGACATCCGGAAAGCTGAAGAAACAGCAGTGATGTCTGCAAGTACGGTAAACCATAAGGTTAGAGAGAAACACTGGATCTCAGCAGCATCTACCGCACTGATAGATGCTCGAAAACTCATTCCATCTGGCTCTGAACATAACGAAGAGCGGAGTCAGCTTAAGCGTAAGCTGACTAGAAGCTTACGCAATGATCGTGAACAGTGGTGGGTAGCGAAAGCAAGAGAGATGGAAAAGGCAGCGGCAATAGGTAACAGCAGGCAACTGTTCAGACTTGTTAAGGAAACCGGTATTAGGAAACCAACTGTTAGCGCAACAATCGCAGAGAAAGATGGACATATTATTCATTCTCAATCCAGGAGATTGGATCGATGGGCAGAATACTTTAGGGATCAGTTCAACTGACCTTCAGCCACACTTCGGTTTCCCACGATCTCCAATCTACCTGAATGGCAAGCTAATGTAAGTCCTCCGACTTTTTACGAAGTTGAAAAAGCTATAGGAAATCTGAAGCGTGGGAGAGCAGCAGGCCCTGACAGGTTTACCCCTGATATTTTTAAGGATGGCGGTCCAGTATTAGCAGCGAGATTGACTAAGATCTTAGGTAGAATCTGGGAACCGTACGTAATCCCATCTGACTGGTCTCAATCACTGATTGTACCAGTCTATAAGAAAGGACAAAAGTCTTCTTGCGACAATCACAGAGGAATTAGTTTGACTAATATAGTGTCTAAAATATTAGCTTCAATAATACTTCGACGTCTAACCAAAGCTCGTGAAGAGCAGACTAGAGAAAACCAGGCTGGTTTTCGACCTGGACGTGGTTGTATTGATCAAATATTCACATTACGTCAGGTCCTAGAACATAGACACACATTCGGACGTCCCACAATGGTAGTATTTCTCGACCTTAAGGCGGCATTTGACTCTGTTGATCGTTAGGTTCTATGGCAATGTTTGTCACTGAAGGGAGTACGAAAGAAGTACGTCAACCTTATAAAGGCTCTCTACTCGAACACAACTGGTCGAGTGTGAACTTATGGTGAACTGTCATCAGAACTGATTACCTCAAGTGGTGTTCGTCAGGGCTGTCCACTCTCTCCATTCTTGTTCAACTTTGTTGTTGACGTCCTTTTAGAGATGACACTTTCCTCATCTAAATTTCTAGGAGTTGAACTTCTACCGGGAAATGCACTTTTTGACTTAGAATATGCCGATGACATAGTTCTATTTGGTGAAGACGCTGATAAAATTCAGAGTTCGCTGACCAGTCTAAGCAATAATGCAGGCATGTTCGGCATGCGATTCTCTCTCTCGAAATGCAAAATTTTGCTTCAGGATTGGGTTGCGTCGACACCGAAACTAGTGATAGGGAGTGAAGTAGTTGAGCGTGTCGACCGCTTCACTTATCTCGGAAGTCTCATCAGCCCTTGTGGTCTGGTGTGTGACGAAATCTCAGCACGGATACAAAAGGCTCGACTAGCTTTTGCCAACTCGCGTCATTTGTGGCGTAGGTGAGATATCCGTCTATCAACCAAAGGACGGGTTAACTGCTCAGTTCATTCCGTCCTACTTTATGGCAATGAAACATGGCCGGTAAGAGTAGAGGATATTCGTAGGTTACTAGTATTTGATCATAGATGTCTTCGAAACATTGCTCGTATATCCTGGGACCACCGAGTAAGTAACTCAGTTGTTAGGAAACGGGTACTAGGTAAGGATGGAAAATCAATTGATGAAGTAGTGAAACTTAATCATTTGAGATGGCTGGGACATGTGTTGCGCATGCCCGACCACCGACTGCCCCGACGTGCGATGTTTTCTGGTGTAGGATTAGGTTGGAAGAAAGCTAGAGGCGGCCAGACCAAAACATGGCACAAGTCCATGAAGTCACTGACAAGTGGACTGAGCCATGTTGGTAGGTGTAGACTACCTGGTTGGGGACCGCGAGACGATAGCAACCGATGGTTAGAGACCTTGAATGACATGGCTCAAAATCGTTTGCAATGGCGCAGGTGCATCTACTCTCTGTGTTTCCCAAAGTCTAATCATCTGAATTCTTCGTGTCCTTTATTTTCTTTCCAAATTCATTCCACTGGATTATAATCCTTAAATAACATCATCAAACCCTAATGTTCCCTATTACTACTCATACTTTCACTACCTCTACCACTATGGGATTTGAATCGATAAATGAATCTCTGTGTTAATGTGGTATGGCAACTCGAACTGATGTACGTACGTACGAATTTCCACGTTGTTACTGACTGACTGCAGTCTGTAAATATTACTGTTGTGTCAATATTATACGTACGTCATTTTAAATAAAGAAAACATCACTGCTGATCATTTGTGTCGACATGCGAAGGGTCAATTAGAAGTCCATATACATCAATTGGAAACAAGAATGATTGACAACAAAACACAGTATATCATTAGGCATGATTTGACTTTCATTCCGTTTGACATATTAAAAAGACATGTACACAGCAAAACTAAAACCTCTCCCCATGACGTACTTTATCGGTTATACGACCAAATTATTCCTGTAACTTTAGGCATTTTTATCAATAATGTCTACAACGTACAAATATTTTTGAAAATTAAGTGAAAAAACAATAGATAATCATGATCTGTAGCCTATTTTTAGTATACAATAACAATACGACAAGTTGTAGACAATAAAATAGTTTTTATATGAAGTGAATTTACATATCCTTAAGGCTCAAGGATTAAAAGTTATATTTTACTTTATGTTCTCAACACTAAACTAATGTGCAGAAACGTGGATTTATTTGATTGGTGTGACGTATAATTCTTTGATAACTTGTAATCAATAATAAAAAATTTAATCACGCAAACATATCTCATTAGTACACCCTTTTGGCTTGGACGTGATTTTTAACCTACCACTGTTAATTTCCTTGCATATAAGTTGCACAGTTGATGATAGTATATGTAAGCTGCAAAGATAACATGATGGAGAGTAGTAGCCATCGCACTGAGTATAATCTAAACAAAAGGCTTCCACTTCCAAACACGAAAGTATGAAAATCATTTTGTATAATACGGTAAGATCAGTAAATCCCAAACTTGATTTTAAGCACTGAAAATTGAGTGAATGTTTATACTTCACCAATTGAAATAATAGAAAGTCCCTGAAGCAGGTCACATATCTAAAATAGAATAGTAAACCCTGAATACATTTACTTAAGTGGAATGTCAAATGTTCCGAAACGGCGACTAATAAAACTGTATAATAAAGTGACAAATTCTTCCAAATTATATTCAGACATCTAAAATATAAGTCAGATAAAGAATTCATAAAATATACGTATGAAGAAGAATTTTTTAACTTCCAAAAATATTCCAAAACAGCATTCATGGTAATTTAGTAGGTTTAAACGCTCCTAATATTAATCATCGACTAAAATCTTCATTTGAAGGTCACCATCGCTATATGTATATACCGCCTGGACCTCAGGGTTCAAAATGGTTCAAATGGTTGTGGACGGAATAGAAGAAGCTTTCGCTTAACAGGCTTCCGTGTTTAGTAGCAGGGGATCACCAATACCTCCAGGCAAGAACCTAGGTATAATAACGATAAAAGAGAAAAAAATGAATTGGTAAATCATAGTAAGATATTATCCTTAGTCCTTAAGAATAGATCAAGTCGCCTCTTAAAGGACTCCTGGGAAGTTGCTTGGACTATCTCAGCTGGCAGCGAATTCCAGCATTTGACAACTCTTAAGGAGTAGAAGTTGTGTCTGCAGTCCGTTCTACTATGTTGTATTTCTAATTTCTGGGTGTTACCCCTTAGGTTAGTGTTGGGACTAAGCTTAAGTAGGTGTTTAAGAGGATGTCCAGGTGTGTTAAGGATACTGTAAGCCACTAGAAGGTCACCTCTAAGACGCCTATACTCTAATGGGTAAATGTCGAGTGATTGGAGGCGTTCATCTTAAGGTTTAAATTTGAGTCCCCGAACTGATTTCGTGGCTCGCCGTTGGATACACTCCAGAGTGTCCTTATCCTTTTGGAGTGTAGGAGGGAATACTATGTTTCCACACTCTAAATGGGAACGAATGAAACTATTGAAGATTATCTGAAAAGTTCTCCCGTCAAACTGACCAAAAATGCGCTTCAATGTTACCAGTGCAAGGTTTGCTCGAAAGGCATTTCTGTCATAGTTGGCGTAAGACTTTAAGTCGTAGGGCACCAGAACTCCTAAATCTTTTTCGACTCGGGATACTACTAGAGAGGAGTTTCCTAAGTTGTAACTGTAATCTGCGACGTGTCGCAGATGGACTACTTTACACTTTGAGGTGTTAAAGGTAAGTCTGTTATCGTCTGCCCAACTTTGAAGTCGAGTTAGATCCTCCTGAAGTGACTGTTTATCCTCTTGGTTGCGTATCTCTCTCAAAAGTTTCACGTCATCGGCAAAGAGCAATATGTCTGACGTTATCTGTTGAGGAAGATCATTTATATAAATCAGGAAGAGAAGTGGTCCTAGTACTGAGCCCTGAGGGACCCCACTAGGACATTCCATAGCGTGTGAGAAATTGATGTTTACCCTGACCTTAAAATGTCGATTTATCAGATATGAACTGAGCCAGTCAATTAAAGGTGGTTTGATACCCAATTGTTTGAGCTTGTTAATAAGGCATATGTGGTTAACCCTATCAAAAGCTTTAGAGAAATCAAGATAAATGATATCCACCTTCCCCTTGCGATCAACCATGCTTGTCCATCTGTCCACCGCAGTCAGCAGGTTCGCCATACAGGATTAATCCTTCCTGAAACCATGCTGTTGAGGCGAGAAGAAAGTTAAGGACAGCAGATAGTCGTGTATATCATTGTATACCAGGGACTCAATGATCTTTGAAGGTATAGAGAGAAGAGCCACCGGTCGGTAACTTGAAAGTTCACTGAGTCCACCTCCCTTTAAGATTGGTGTGATATGAGCCAGCTTCCAAATATCCGGTAGTTTGCCTCGACTTAGCGAGTGTGAGAACATCACGCTAAGCGGTGTTGCCAGGATTGAAGCTGCTTCCCTCAGTATAGCAGAGTGGATCATATCTGGACCAGGAGAAGTGTCTGTTCTTAGGTGTTGTAGTTTACGGAACACCAAGTCAGCGCTCAGTTTCACTACGGAAAGTCCTGTGCAGTTGCAGATAGTGCCGTCATCCGTATAGTTGATGTGGGAAGGTTGAAATGTCCGGGAGTATTGCTTAGCCAGGGGTTAGCGGCGTCACCGTCATTATTGGTCGGGCTGTTAGAACCTAGCAGTTGAGAAACTCCAGTTTTGGCTTGACGAAGAGAGGCTGCATTACGGAATAAGCTTTGCGGATTGGAAATAAATTTATCCATAAGCTTTAACTGGTACTGAAGCCTGTCTTCTCTTATAGCCTTCGTGCATATGTTCCTTATATGTTTATATTGCCTGTAGTCGCCGTTGTTGTCGGTTCGTTTGTATTCTGCTCAACAGTGCTTTTTACGGCTTAACAAACGAAGAGTGCGGTTTTTGATGATTGTAGGTTGCATGTGGCTTTTGGGTACCGTTTGAGGGACTGACTGCTTTGTAGCACATAAGAGCGTGTGTAATAGGAAGTTCCAGTGAGTAACCACATCAAGTTGAGGGTGAACATTCCAATCCACTTGTCGTAGATGTCCTGTAGAGCTGACACACTCAACCGTTTGAAATTCCAGCGCCTGTTGTAGTTGGAATATCTTAGCTCAGTTTTGCTGATGAAACTGAGGGCTATAACGGCGTGATCACTTTTCCCCAGGGGAGCCAGAATTTAAAGGTTGTCGACTAGAAATTCTTTATTTGTAAAAACACGGTCTAAGCGCGATGGTGTCTGACTGTTCCCCCAACGAGTAGCCAACTTCACATTTTCGTGTAGTCCCAAATCCTCAATGAGGTTGAAGAACCGAGCTTCAATTGAATTTTCACCTCTAATATACGTGCGTTCCGCGAAGTTGACTCCAGGGAGATTGAAGTCCCCTAGAATCAGGATATGAGTGAAACCGAGACGCGTAGAGCGGGATAGTCCTTCTAGCATGCGACTGTCATACTCGATGTCGGCAGTGGGCTTCCTATATATGACTCCGACCAGGCACCTCGAAGTAGTGGACAATCTCATAGAGCACCATATGGATTCCTCAAGATTGTCAAACTCATGGTTGTGAACTTGGTGTACCTCCAAGCCAGATCGTATGTATAGGGCTACTCCACCCCCAATTCCTGTTTTTCTGTCATTGCGAAAGAGAGACATCCCAGGTATTGCTGGCTCCTGGTCCGAATACTGAGGAAATATCCAAGTTTCAGATATTCCTATCAGATGAACCTTATTAGCGTTGCTAAGTTCGCTTAGTTCATCCATTTTATTTGATAGACTCGCGGCGTTCATGTATAAGCAGTTAATGCTTTCAATTTGAAACACGTGAGCTTCTTCCTGTTTGTGAGTGAGAGCCTTACATGAGTGGACAGGTAACCCACTTATATAAGTTTTGTCGAATTGTTAGGCCCCGTCCTTTACACGTTTTTTATCTTCAAGGCAGTCCACAAGTAGGATGGTCAGCTCCAGCTTGCCTTTGTGCTTGATCCTGGCGTCATATGGCCTGTCCGGGTGCATGTAGATCCCAGTTGTCAACCGACGTCTGTTGACGCGAAATGCTTCCAGAGCTGCAGCCGCCATATGGGAGGATGGAAACGTTATTCTCATTAGTCGGGGTCTAGGTTCCCCGTCCTTCTTGGCTATTCCCATCACATGCTGAGTCAGTATGTTTTTGAGCCTCAAGGACTGTTTGATGAAATTCATTTCCCGAATGTCAGAGTTTGCTTGACTAGGGTCCATATTTCCCGATACACCTTGCACGATGATATTTCTTCGGGGGACAAACTTCTCTTGAGAATCTTAAGGGACGTTCCGGATGAGATTGCTCTCAGAATACGGTATGTTGGGCAGTTTTCTGACGTTCATATCTGATTTCGGTAGATAAATAGCTAGCAGGACATCCTCTACTTCGTTAGCATTCTTGAGTGTTACACGAAGTAGTCTCGGGTGATTTTGATGCTTAGATTCCGTTCCCCGAGTGAGCCGTGTGACCGTCAAAGGCTCTATTCTAGGAAGTTCGAGCTTTTTGTTCAGTTCACCCCAGAGCATCCTGTCATTTTTGTCCTGTAAACTGAGAGGAAGGTCAGGGTTGTCTATGAGGTTCATGATTATGAGAGAGTCATCGCAAACCGTTATTGTTTTCCCAGGTTTTCCGGTGCGTTCAGGTTCAGTACGTTGTTGTTTGGAGGTCAAAGCAGGTTTCTGAGTCTTAGGCTTTTTGATAACTAGGTGGACGTTTTTGGGGGTAGACTGAGCGATCAAATCACCAGTTGATGTCCGTACAACACTTGGGATGTCAACCTTAGACGGTGACACCTGGTCCTTATTAGCTCTGTTGGCGTGGGTGCAGTCACCTGCAGAGATTTTGGGAACAACTGTTGCGTTTAAGGACCGTGAACTGGGAGATCCAAGTTTAGTGAGGGAGTCAATTACCGTCGACGTAATGATGGTGCTGAGTTTCAACAATTCATCCTTAATATTAATGCGTGTTTCATCGATGGTTGACTTATCGATATCCCTATTCTTATTTTCGTTGCGTGCCCTTGTTTGTCTACCTACTTTATGGCTATCTGTTTCCAAGTTTACTGACAATTCGTTCCGCAGACCTGTCAGTAGAACAATGATGTTGCTCAGCAGTACTACAGCGGCCGTGTTGCATGTAACACACACCCACTTGCGATCCGATTTGCTGAGTCTCTTGTAAGCAGTTGCCGTAAGATCTGTGCATCTTTCGTGGAACCAACCTTTGCAGTTGTCGTACTGCATTCCAGATGTAACAGCGAAACGGCATCCAGGTCGTTTGCATGAATTTTTCATGGCTGTATTGGCGTAAACTGTGTTAGAGATAGTGTCAAAAGCTAAGACTGTTAAAAATACACTAAAAAGCACACTAAAAACGGGAAAAATGTATAAAAACGGATGAGATAAAATGAACTAGCCTATAAGTGAAAAACTGAAAAAAAACCGAATAGTAAGCTGAGGCAAAACCACAGTTAACTATTAAATTGGGCGAAACTCAAAAAATAGTAATCTACTGAACTTACAGCTCAGAATAGATTGTTTAGATCAGAAATTTTACTTTTGTTACGTAAGAACACAGCAAAAGTTTGAGAAATACAAACCACGTTAAGACTAAACTTCATATAATGCAAATAATCCCAAACAATATAGCAAACAGTCCGAGGGTTGTTCCCCACTTCGATTTGAAAAGGGCAGACAGAATCGAATTTTTGTGATGATGACAGAAGGCTTACGGCTTGTGTTACTCCGTACTAGCGAGCGTCGAAAGGCGTTTAGCCTTCTCTCAAATCAGTCAGTTTAAGGAACGAACACCACTCTTTGGATACTGGTACGTGGACGGTTTGATGTCACTGGACCCTATCCAAATCATCAGGCACTTGGGTTGCTGGATGTCGAACAGCTCACCGATCCTCGTCAATATCATGAACAACCAACTTGCAACTGTTAACTAGACATCATGGACCGGCCCATGCATCATTGGTCTCACTGCGTTCCTTGTAGCTACTCATAATAAGATGTTCCCCCAGTCCCGTCATTTTGTGTTGTGTGGTCATCAAAGCAATCGTAGTACCTGGATACGACAAAGAATAATTCATCTTAGGCACTAACCGCTGTTTGGTCTAACTCAAGTGGACCCCAAATCTATGTTAATGGTCTGCAACAAGTTCAAAGAATTAGTGGCTTGGTTTGAAAATCAACATACCGTTGTTATTTTATTCTTTTGCAACTTTCGCAAATGCCTAGTCTGTCCTCTGTTTTATCCTAATTTTGTAGGAAGAGGATATATCAGTTTCAAAATCATTTCTTAATACTTTATACATCAAAATCAGCGGTAAAACCGAGTAAAAGGGTCTAGCTTCTCAAGCCGCTCTTTGTAGGCTGAAATTGCACATGTAGCTACCCTCTTTACCTTTTTCAAGATAATTGAGTTGTCTTTCAAATAGCGGCTAGCAGCCTGAACTCAGTTTCCAAGTTTAGATCTCATTAAAGTTGTACATACTATAGTGAAAAATCTAGTGATTAACTCGGTAATTATCCGTCTTGGGGCCCATATGACTCTAAGCCACTTAAATCGACCTCACCACAGTGAGCAGCTATTTATATTCGATAATTTTGTTGTTTGATTATATTTTCCTTGAAAAAGCTTGGACCAGATCGCCAGGCGAAACGTTGGATTTACTTCAAATTCATTCGCTGGGATTTTACAAATACATTTTTCCTCTGTTATGTCTCACATTAACTCGGCGCCCAAATATTGTGAAACTATTCGTTCAAATTTAGACGAAAGTTCTTATTTATTCGATTATATCGTCGAAAGTCGCTTCGTGTTCGCACGTCGGGGTCGCCGATTCTGTAGTGGCTGTGCTACGTTGACCGTTCACCCTAGTAACCGTTATCGTATAATTCCCAATGGTATTTGAAATCAGAAGGCGAAGAGAAGCAGCTACTAAAATTTTATTAGCAGTTAAATCAAATCACAGAGCAGAGAGTTGAATGAGTTAGCAAACCGGGAATGTTTAGAGTGTTATATATATATATATATATATATATATATATATATATATAAATGAATAGACTATCGAATCGTTTAAGCGGCTGATAATAAGGCTAGCGGGATGAATATATGCATGGGCGATCAACAATGTTCAAGCATACTTATTCATACAAGCATAACAATAATAGAGGTACAATAAGTTGTTATAGTATGGATGACTTTGTCCGCTTAATAAGTGAAGGAGGAAACATCAGATTTACATACTCCAAATATGATCGAACAACCCTCTTCAATGTTTCTGGCACAGAGCTCTCCCGAAATGCACTTTGGTCACAGTTATCGTGAGCAATGAGATCACATGCTACCGACACTCCTAGATCTTCAATAACTTGAGATACCGCTAGGGGGGGTATCTAGGTTGTATCCGTAGTATACGACATATCTCAGATGGACTACTTTATGCTTTGAAGTGTTATCCACCCAAATTTTAAGTTGAGCTAGACCCTCTCTAAGTGCCAGCTCAACCTCTTGGTTACAAAATTTTCTTCAAAGTTAAACATCGACAGAGAAAAGCAATAGCTCAGATGATACTTGCTGAGTGGTGTCATTTATATTGTTGATTACGGACGAGCCCTCATATTAATACAGAAATAGATTAGAATTCTACATTGGTGAGACCGATCGAAGCAACGCAGCCTTTTATTAATTCTTATATTTACTTTAACTTTATCGACTGATTTATACATATGTTAACCCATCATCTTATTGTCTACTGATTAGTGCTCACATATATTATATTGTAGTATTGATTAGTATCCACAGCTTACTAGCTCGATCGATAATAATAATTGCTAATCTGTATTTATGATAAGCTATGCCGGTTCACTACCAAACCTTTGTGTCACTTAAATGCTTCAGTGAAATAGACTTGTTAAAACACCGATCACTAGCAAGTGTGGTGCCTAAAGAACGTAAATACACAGTAACCAGCAATTTAGGCAAGGATTTGATGGTTACGTGGGTCTATTTCTTCATCTTGTTTATTCACATATTGAACCGTTAAGTAAAGGTAAGAAGAAGGAAACTTATTTATCAACGAAAGTGTCTACTTGGGCAGTAATTTTGTACTTATAATGGTTCGATAAAAACATAAGTCTACAAAAGAAACAGAAAGATGAAGTGATCTGTGATTTTAATCATTCAAAATAGGTTGCGTAGTGATCTGGGCGTTAGAGAAGAATAGGCGGATGAAAATAATTTATGAGATAAAAATATGAGAGGGAGTTTGAGTCGAAATCCTACGCACTTGTGAGGGATTAGGTGTAACAGAAAGAGGACGATGAAAATCCCTCCGCAGTCTTTTTTGTTGGACAGTACTGTCATTTATTTGTTTTGTCTCCCTGTCGTGTATTTTAACCTTGGTTCAGATCTCGTTTAATCACACCTTTTGTTCTTCAGTCTTCCTCATCTGAGTCCTTGTTATGTGATTTTGATTAAAGACTTATCTTTTGTTACCTACTTTTCTATTGCATGTTGCCGGACTATTGACAGCTAGGTCGTGCTTGACTAAGCTCGGGGTCACGGCGTGATTCAGTGTGCGTCTGTCAACCTTTTGACTGACTGCTTGGGAGGATTTCTGGAATCCCTGTAGATAGATATTTGATTCCATCTTGTTTGGAATATTTTTATTGATTCTCAGGTATCAAACCCTTTGGTATTAACTGTTTCTTTTATTATTTAGCGCGCTACTTCGCGTTAGAGAAGCTTATGACTGTATACCACAGGCTGTACCGTTTGTGGTGTTTTGTGTTTTTGATATAATTTGTTCTATTCTCTAAATTAGAACCGCTCAAATTGGGCACAGAGTTTGTGTTTTGACAAAATTTAATACGAGTATCTCAAAAATGCTTGATACGCTATACAGAAGAACGTAATCTGGTCTATTCGAATACATTTTCGTTCGTCAGTCCTGCGTTCAAACCGAATACTGGCAGTTCGGTCGTTACATGTATAATTAAAAATTACTTTCAGGACAGATAACAGTATATATGAAAATCTACAAACTCTCAGCACAATTCTGACGTTAGTTTGCCCTATCATCGCATCTGAAACAGTATGCAGTATGTTCATAAGTATCCACTGCAGTGAAAACAACGTATCACATTAGCACTGGTCATTTTGTACGGTAATAATACATCAATCGCTCTACTGCAATACAAAAGGTTGAGAGTTACCTTAAAATGAACTCATGAAGATGTAGTACAGACACTCACAATTTAACAAAGGCTTTCGATACTGCGTCACAGTGTTTACGTACGAGAAAGCCAACCCAGAACCTATTTCTGACATGTGCGGGTTGTGTACTCAAAATATTTTTGGTCAAACTAAGTAAAGATAATTTGGTCGTAGTTCCTCGCCAAATATACCCTTAGCGTTCCAATGGCCACAGATACCCAGTGAGCATAAAAGCACATTACCGGTCAGACATTTCGAACTTGATGTTCTTGGGTGTAACTCCTCGAAAAACCAAACGAAAGATAAATGGACACTCCCCGAGTGGCATACGGCATCGGTCCGAGTAGCAGATATTTATCAGCTAGTCTCTGGTGAATTGAGTGTTAGGAGTTCCGTCTTTGCTATCCCTAGTACGTTTTTAATGGGCAGATTACCTAATACTGAATAAATGATAGTCGGCATAAACCCTACAGTCGTACAACAACGTACTAAGTTATAACCTCAGGACTGGTGTAGGCACCCAGGGTGGCCAACATTCACTCAAATTATATTTACCTGAAATTCCGAAGATAAAATGCGGTAATTTTGCAAATGTAATAGACACGACATCTATTAGATCCTGAATCGCCAACTAATTGGATGGGTAAGAAAGAACGACATCTACACAAACCTGTTAATTTGTTACCAATGACTTACTTTACAAGTAAACAAACTACCTCGTTTACTTCTTATCGACTCAGACTATCAATTACAAATCCATGATTTCTTACTAATATCCACTACTACATAACGACCTAAAGTAATATTCAGTTTTCCAACGGAAGTTTGATAAAAGCGAACCAAGAACTTCGATTGTAACAAATGGAAGATCAATGAAACAGGTCGCCTAAAAAGTATTCCAAACATCTGGACAACTTGAAAGATAGAACTGTCTAGCAAATATGATTTGACAAAAAGGTAGAAATAAGCTTCAAATACGAATGAAATACAGTGCCTTATATTAAGTGAATTAAATAAAGTCTCAAATCATTAAACAGGTATATGATAGGAAAAATGATACGATAATTACAATGATGAATACAATTCACCAAACATTAAAACTTTAAATATTACGTAAAATTGTCTCTTTCTTTCTAGGAATAAATATCTACATTGAAGATTTACTTAAAATTACAATAAGAAAAAACCCATGGATCTTCAAGAAAAAAGATGAACAATCTGAATATTATTACAGATGATATAGAATGGAATTAAACCATATTATTTTTGTTAGATGATAATAAGAACATCAACGTTTATCACGGCATATAAGACATAACCTATACAATTTAATCATCATTTTCATCTCCAAGTAAACCGATTGGCCATTCTGAAACATTATAACGAGGTAATGAACCTTCAAATAGACGATCTAACCAATTGGATAAACCATCTAATAATTCACTTTCAAATAATACTCCATCAGCTATTTGATGTCTTGACTTTAAATGTGAACGATTTTTACTAATATAAGATTGATTGAAATCTTCTTCATCATCTGATTCTAAACCGAATGCACGACCAAATATATGTCTACGTCGTAAGCGTTTACCTTGTTTTTCAACTGTTAATGATTCGTCCACATCTGATTCCTACATATACATATAGAATCGAAATGAGATAAAGATAAAGCCAGAAACAAAATATTTCCAAAACATACAGAAAATAATAATAATTGAGCGTTTAGTGTTTTCTTTTCTTTTGTATGAGGACACGTATCAACTAGTCAGTCAGTCACTCAGTAACAACGCAGAACTTCGTACGTACGTACATCAATTTGAGTTGCTATACCATATTAGCACACAGATACAATTGTTGATACAAATCCTATAGTCGTAGAGGCAGTAACAGTATAAGCAGTAATCGGAAAGATTATTAGGGTTCCAAGATGTTCCGATTCTTTTGTATCCGTGCCAGACCACAAGGGCTGGTCATTATAAAAGAAGATGAATGATACATAAATGATCTTTAAAGTCTACAAAATAAAGTTATCATAAAAGTGAATAAAAAGAATACAGAATAACATAGATAACTGAGTTTTAGACGATAATAAAGAACGGAAGCACTCAAATTCAATCAACTAACCTATTATGACAAATCTAATGTGTAATTCTATCATGTTTTAAATATAATAGTTGGCATACTTGAAATGTAGAATATGTATTTATTTATGAAATGTTTCACTTCGATGAAAAATTCGGCAAAATTCAATATATGAAACTCATTAAGTTACAACACAATAAAATTTAGGATGAAGTTGTCTTCCCAGAAGAGCAAACTTTCGCATTAGGACTGGTTTGAATCAACATATGACCTGATTATGGATTATGAAGTAGATAAGCGACTTGATCGCTTAACTTGAAAGTTCCAGTAGTAATGGTGCTTCACTGGTTGACAAAACAATGATACTATTCAGAAAGATGGCTTGGACTTTCTAAACACGCATCAAGTGTGGCATAAGTGTGATATAGATGTGGATATCAAAGAGAAAGTATAATAAGCCGTAGTCTGCTCGATTTCGCTTTGTAGTTATGTGATTTGACCTATGAAGTAAACAAGTATGGGTTGCTTATGTTTGGTGATGGACATTATTGAAGAATCACCTTCATAGAATAAAACGACTAAGTGATTATTGATGTGGTTAAACCTAGGACCTCAATTAGGGATGGGAAATCGGCTAACGAGGTAGCAAATCATTATTAATTAAAGTGGTTTAAACACATCTCCAAATACCTTTTGTTTCAACGAACTATGCCGACTTGCATAAGAATAGATTGGATGAAAGCTAGCTAACAGCAGCTAAACAAAGACGTAGTATTATTACATGAAGTAATTGTTTGCTGTCACTAGATGAAAACTGTTTGAGACACTTACACTAATCGTGATCAGTGGTTGAAGACTATAAGTGGCATAGATTAGAATCGACCACGGTGGAATAGATGTGTTCATTATTTTTTCTTCAATTTTCCTCAGTTTTAATGTTACTCCTTCTTATTCCTCGAATTCGTTACTTATGGTAAAAGTATACCAAGAGGACATACAGGCACTTCAGGAGGATCTAACTCGACTTCAAAGTTGGGCAGACGATAACAGACTTACCTTTAACACCTCAAAGTGTAAAGTAGTCCATCTGCGACACGTCGCAGATTACAGTTACAACTTAGGAAACTCCTCTCTAGTAGTATCCCGAGTCGAAAAAGATTTAGGAGTTCTGGTGCCCTACGACTTAAAGTCTTACGCCAACTATGACAGAAATGCCTTTCGAGCAAACCTTGCACTGGTAACATTGAAGCGCATTTTTGGTCAGTTTGACGGGAGAACTTTTCAGATAATCTTCAATAGTTTCATTCGTTCCCATTTAGAGTGTGGAAACATAGTATTCCCTCCTACACTCCAAAAGGATAAGGACACTCTGGAGTGTATCCAACGGCGAGCCACGAAATCAGTTCGGGGACTCAAATTTAAACCTTAAGATGAACGCCTCCAATCACTCGACATTTACCCATTAGAGTATAGGCGTCTTAGAGGTGACCTTCTAGTGGCTTACAGTATCCTTAACACACCTGGACATCCTCTTAAACACCTACTTAAGCTTAGTCCCAACACTAACCTAAGGGGTAACACCCAGAAATTAGAAATACAACATAGTAGAACGGACTGCAGACACAACTTCTACTCCTTAAGAGTTGTCAAATGCTGGAATTCGCTGCCAGCTGAGATAGTCCAAGCAACTTCCCAGGAGTCCTTTAAGAGGCGACTTGATCTATTCTTAAGGACTAAGGATAATATCTTACTATGATTTACCAATTCATTTTTTTCTCTTTTATCGTTATTATACCTAGGTTCTTGCCTGGAGGTATTGGTGATCCCCTGCTACTAAACACGGAAGCCTGTTAAGCGAAAGCTTCTTCTATTCCGTCCACAACCATTTGAACCATTTTGAACCCTGAGGTCCAGGCGGTATATACATATAGCGATGGTGACCTTCAAATGAAGATTTTAGTCGATGATTAATATTAGGAGCGTTTAAACCTACTAAATTACCATGAATGCTGTTTTGGAATATTTTTGGAAGTTAAAAAATTCTTCTTCATACGTATATTTTATGAATTCTTTATCTGACTTATATTTTAGATGTCTGAATATAATTTGGAAGAATTTGTCACTTTATTATACAGTTTTATTAGTCGCCGTTTCGGAACATTTGACATTCCACTTAAGTAAATGTATTCAGGGTTTACTATTCTATTTTAGATATGTGACCTGCTTCAGGGACTTTCTATTATTTCAATTGGTGAAGTATAAACATTCACTCAATTTTCAGTGCTTAAAATCAAGTTTGGGATTTACTGATCTTACCGTATTATACAAAATGATTTTCATACTTTCGTGTTTGGAAGTGGAAGCCTTTTGTTTAGATTATACTCAGTGCGATGGCTACTACTCTCCATCATGTTATCTTTGCAGCTTACATATACTATCATCAACTGTGCAACTTATATGCAAGGAAATTAACAGTGGTAGGTTAAAAATCACGTCCAAGCCAAAAGGGTGTACTAATGAGATATGTTTGCGTGATTAAATTTTTTATTATTGATTACAAGTTATCAAAGAATTATACGTCACACCAATCAAATAAATCCACGTTTCTGCACATTAGTTTAGTGTTGAGAACATAAAGTAAAATATAACTTTTAATCCTTGAGCCTTAAGGATATGTAAATTCACTTCATATAAAAACTATTTTATTGTCTACAACTTGTCGTATTGTTATTGTATACTAAAAATAGGCTACAGATCATGATTATCTATTGTTTTTTCACTTAATTTTCAAAAATATTTGTACGTTGTAGACATTATTGATAAAAATGCCTAAAGTTACAGGAATAATTTGGTCGTATAACCGATAAAGTACGTCATGGGGAGAGGTTTTAGTTTTGCTGTGTACATGTCTTTTTAATATGTCAAACGGAATGAAAGTCAAATCATGCCTAATGATATACTGTGTTTTGTTGTCAATCATTCTTGTTTCCAATTGATGTATATGGACTTCTAATTGACCCTTCGCATGTCGACACAAATGATCAGCAGTGATGTTTTCTTTATTTAAAATGACGTACGTATAATATTGACACAACAGTAATATTTACAGACTGCAGTCAGTCAGTAACAACGTGGAAATTCGTACGTACGTACATCAGTTCGAGTTGCCATACCACATTAACACAGAGATTCATTTATCGATTCAAATCCCATAGTGGTAGAGGTAGTGAAAGTATGAGTAGTAATAGGGAACATTAGGGTTTGATGATGTTATTTAAGGATTATAATCCAGTGGAATGAATTTGGAAAGAAAATAAAGGACACGAAGAATTCAGATGATTAGACTTTGGGAAACACAGAGAGTAGATGCACCTGCGCCATTGCAAACGATTTTGAGCCATGTCATTCAAGGTCTCTAACCATCGGTTGCTATCGTCTCGCGGTCCCCAACCAGGTAGTCTACACCTACCAACATGGCTCAGTCCACTTGTCAGTGACTTCATGGACTTGTGCCATGTTTTGGTCTGGCCGCCTCTAGCTTTCTTCCAACCTAATCCTACACCAGAAAACATCGCACGTCGGGGCAGTCGGTGGTCGGGCATGCGCAACACATGTCCCAGCCATCTCAAATGATTAAGTTTCACTACTTCATCAATTGATTTTCCATCCTTACCTAGTACCCGTTTCCTAACAACTGAGTTACTTACTCGGTGGTCCCAGGATATACGAGCAATGTTTCGAAGACATCTATGATCAAATACTAGTAACCTACGAATATCCTCTACTCTTACTGGTCATGTTTCATTGCCATAAAGTAGGACGAACACCACTTGAGGTAATCAGTTCTGATGACAGTTCACCATAAGCTCTCACTCGACCAGTTGTGTTCGAGTAGAGAGCCTTTATAAGGTTGACGTACTTCTTTCGTACTCCCTTCAGTGACAAACATTGCCATAGAACCTAACGATCAACAGAGTCAAATGCCGCCCTAAGGTCGAGAAATACTACCATTGTGGGACGTCCGAATGTGTGTCTATGTTCTAGGACCTGACGTAATGTGAATATTTGATCAATACAACCACGTCCAGGTCGAAAACCAGCCTGCTTTTCTCTAGTCTGCTCTTCACGAGCTTTGGTTAGACATCGAATTATTATAGAAGCTAATATTTTAGACACTATATTAGTCAAACTAATTCCTCTGTGATTGTCGCAAGAAGACTTTTGTCCTTTCTTATAGACTGGTACAATCAGTGATTGAGACCAGTCAGATGGGATTACGTACGGTTCCCAGATTCTACCTAAGATCTTAGTCAATCTCGCTGCTAATACTGGACCGCCATCCTTAAAAATATCAGGGGTAAACCTGTCAGGGCCTGCTGCTTTCCCACGCTTCAGATTTCCTATAGCTTTTTCAACTTCGTAAAAAGTCGGAGGACTTACATCAACTTGCCATTCAGGTCGACTGGGGATCGTGGGAAACCGAAGTGTGGCTGAAGGTCAGTTGAACTGATCCCTAAAGTATTCTGCCCATCGATCCAATCTCCTGGATTGAGAATGAATAATATGTTCATCTTTCTCTGAGATTGTTTCGCTAACAGTTGGGTTCCTAATACCGGTTTCCTTAACAAGTCTGAACAGTTGCCTGCTGTTACCTATTGCCGCTGCCTTTTCCATCTCTCTTGCTTTCGCTACCCACCACTGTTCACGATCATTGCGTAAGCTTCTAGTCAGCTTACGCTTAAGCTGACTCCGCTCTTCGTTATGTTCAGAGCCAGATGGAATGAGTTTTCGAGCATCTATCAGTGCGGTAGATGCTGCTGAGATCCAGTGTTTCTCTCTAACCTTATGGTTTACCGTACTTGCAGACATCACTGCTGTTTCTTCAGCTTTCCGGATGTCATTCCACACTGCCTCGGGGTGGGCATCACTTACACGGCTGCCTAACTGTTTTTCTAGTTGTTCCTGAAATATACTCTTAGCTTGACTATCATTAAGTAGGACCCTAAGGGGTTTCCTTGCACCATCTTTCCTACTTCCAGTAAGACGTAGACAAATGCGCGCTCGCACTAGAGCATGATCTGAGTCTAAGCATGTGCTCCAGAATGAGCGACAGTCTTCTATCGAGCCCCTCCATCGGTGGCTGATAGCGATGTGATCTATTTGGGTCCAGCGTTGAGACGAATTAGGGGGTCGCCATGTTAAAAGATGTTTTTCCTTATGCTTAAAGTTAGTGTTTGCAAGAAACAGGCGGTTATCTGAGCATAGCTGCAACAGACGGTCGCCGTTATCTGTTCGTTGAGCCGCGACACCATAAGATTCACCTAGGTGTTTTTCCCTTTCGCTTAGTTTACCTACTTGAGCATTAAGGTCACCAGCCACTATTACTACATCAGAGCGCCCAGCTTTTCGGAGAAGGTCGGAAAGCTTTCTGTAAAACTCATCTTTTACATCATCTGAGCTGCAGTCAGTGAGAGAGTAGGTAGAGACGACGAAGAGGCAACGACGAGTGTCCCTATCTTTTCGAGTCCTTACTGTTCCGTTTAGTTGGACAGCACACAAACGACTGTCTACTGGGATCCAGTCTAAGAGAGCTAGTTCTGCCCTAGGACTCAATGCTATACCTACGCCAGCGAGGCCACGGGATGCAGCATCAGGGCTTCCAGATACACGAAGCGTAAATCGAGTTGGTTCGTTACTTTGACATGGTGCAGTCAAATGAGTGACACTACTAGGATCCTGTGTGCGCGTTTCAGAGACGCAGCACACATCGATGGAGCGAGATTCTAAAGTCTTAGCTAAGCAAGCCTGTTGTCCTATTTGGCACAGTGTTCGGACGTTGAAAGCTCCTACGTGTAGTTTAGAGCGTGGTTTCAGGAGACCTGGATTAACATTCCGCGTACTCGAATCTTTTGTCCTAGCGGGGCGAGGTGATAAAGGGACGTGAGAAGGGTTGGTCGTGGAGATAAGAGAGTTATTAGGAGGTGTAGGAAGGATTTGAATGTGACCAACTTGGTCTCGTGTGCTGTTACGGGTATGAAGGCTGATGTCACTTCCCGGTTGCCCACATCGTGGAAGGGTATTTCTTGAGGAACCTGAAAAGGAAATCAGATTAGTGTTGGTCTTGAAGACCTGGGAGCGTGACCGCAGAGCCCAAGGGACAACTGCTTGAGGCCGGTCGCGCACGGCCTTTTTGTGTGAGGTTTTTAATGTGTTAGCTCCGTTCTTCAAAGGGCCTTACCGCCGGAGACGGAAATCCGTGGGGTAAGGTGAGGTATGACATTTTCAGGGTCAACCTTTTCTAACCCCTTCCTTCCTTGTGAGAAGGCAGCATCGTTGCAGATGCTGGTTGTCCGAGGGAAACACCTTACTGCTGTCACACCTCTGTACAGTCAGCAGTACGACTTCGCCTTCAGACCTTGAGTTGCTGCTTTTAGTCTTACCGTTCTCCAATCGACCTGCCTGGCATGGCAGAACCTACAGGGACATACGCTCCAGCCAATATAACTCGGTTGAGTCATCACGATAGGCAAGCCCGACCACCACGTCAAGGTAGGAGCTGCGGTCGGGAAAAACTGGAAGCCAGTTACCACAGAAAAGAAGATAGTGTTCAATACATCAAATGCCTAATTCGATCTCTACAGATGATATGTAGCAAACAATTTGATACTATCTCCAATTCTCTAACTACCCTGAATTCTGAAACAAACCGATACCTGATTGCACTGCATTCTATGGATGAACTAATCAGATAGTGCTCCTTAATTTTTCAAGCGGAATTGACTTATCTGCATGGCTAAATTAATACTCGGTAATACATAATATTTAAAATAAGAAAACATCAAAATTTTAAATTATATATCACTTACAGAATTTTCATCAGAACTACTTTGAGAACCTGGAATTAAAGGATGATAGAGGTTGAAATAACGTCGATAACCATTGACGGCAATAACTGTTCCAACACAGTTCACTGGATTAATAAATAAAATTCCACTATTATTATTATTATTATTATTATTATTATTATTATTATTAGTAGTAGTAGTAGTAGTAGTAGTAGTAGTAGTAGTAGTAGTAGTATCATTCATATTCCTATTCTTTTGCATAGTATTATTAGTACGAATATGTATTGGTAAATTTGATCTGATAGATTCAAGTAATTTTGCGAGCCAACAGGAATATCGATCCATAGAAAGACAAGCACGTTGAATTTGACTTCCACTAATGAAAGAATAAAATTATTATAAAAAAATAATAAAACAGAAATAATAATTTCACTAATAATGAATACATGTTTTGATCGGATAAAAAATTTATCATCAATTTGTAGTTGCATTTTAGTACACAAATTTGCTGGTTCTTACAACCATTTTAGCACCGATTTAAACACCTTACAATAAAGCGAACATCTGGCGCTCTAACCTTTTTGGTGGACACGGTTGCTTCACCTAGAAGGAGTTGGAAAACCCTGATTCCAAATTAATGGTGCACATGGGTTCCAGGATCCTGAAGGAACAAATGGCGTATGAACCAATCGTTGGTTACCGGCTAACATGGGACTGCATCTCCTGACATTGCTCAACTGCCTTGTGGATCAAACCTTTAGGTTGAAGGCTCCTGATGTGGCGCTCTCTAAGAAAGCTACCTGCTCCCGTCTCGGCATCCGGGTAGTGTCACAACCCACACACAAATTAAGTGACTTGTGTGGTGCATATGTATTCGGTGCCCCTTTGTACCCATATTTATGTGTTCAGACAAAAATAAGACTTAACGTATCAACTGAAATAAATAGTTACATTGTAAATTATTTACAAAACCTGAAATTATTACAATGAGCCTAAAATAAACGAGTTGAAATAGTGAACTTCTATATCGGTTAAGGCTTAAATAGGATAAAGATTTTATATGTAAATTTCAAAGGTCATTATAAAGGAAAGAGATAGCGAAAATTCGTTGGAACGTATCGAGATACAGTCAATATAAAAAAGATAAATGATGTAAATAGAATGTAAAACTCCGCCTGGAGTCCTTTCGGGGCTGTTGCCAGTCCCAAATCCGGATAAAGGAGGAGGGTTAGGCATCTAAAAAATGCTAACCAGAAAGTAAGTAAATAGTATGGATAATAGGACAGACGCAATATCGAGTTAACTGAAATAATAATAAAAATAATAATAACAGAGATTTAAAAAATCCACGTGAACTGGGAAAAACAACTTGGTGCACACTGAATATAACAAGGTAGAGATAAACATAAAATAAAGGTTTGTGATATGTGATTTATGCATTGTGACGCGACTGCGCATCATGGTAAACAGTGGCTGAATAAGACACTTTGATGCATAAGTCAGATTTCTACAGCTGATGACAACGGCTTCAGCTAATTAGGGAGGCTATAACTGCATCTTCGTCGGCCTTATGGTGTTCACTGTTAAGTCGTGTCAAGGCGTTAGCCTGATCAAACTGTTGGGTGCACCGGTACTGAATGTTAAAATCATAGCCCATCAGTATCAAAGCCCATCGCTAGAGAGGGTTTGCAGAATGGGCTGGAACGCCAGATTTCGAACCGAAAATTCTGAGAAGAGGCTTGTGATCAGTGAGAAGAGTAAATCTTCGACCGTACAAGAATTTGTGGAAACGGCGTACTGCAAACAAAAGGGCGAGAGCCTCTTTCTCTATTTGACTGTACTTTCTTTCCGCTGAAGTTAATGTGCGAGATGCGTGCATAATAGCTTTCTCTGTTGCGTCCGGGAACTGATGTGAGATGACAGCACCGAGTCCGAAATCTGAAGCATCTGCAGCGACAATGATAGGTATGGACGGATCGTAGTGTGTCAGCAATAGTTCAGAGCTTATGATTGTTTTCAGCTTGCAAAATGCAGCTTCACATTCTTTTGTCCAGTTCCAGCTGGTGTTCTTATTCAGAAGATGATTTAGCGGGGCGCGTATGTCATGCATCGACGGAACAAAAGCTGAGTAGCAGCTAATTAATCCCAGGAATGATCGTAGCTCAGAGATATTAGTGGGAGTCGGCAACAGTTTTATGGCTCGGATGTTTTCAGGATCTGGTCTGCGACCTGCGACATCAAAGATGAATCCCAAGTATTTAACTGACTTCAAGAAAAGCTGGCATTTTTCTCGGCGTAATCGGAACCCGTTATCGCTGACGCGCTGTAGTACAGCTGTCGTGAGTTCTCGAAGCTGTCCTAACGATGTGGCAACAATTAAGATATCATCGAGATAAGTTGCGACCCCCGGAATACCCGATAGAATGGTATCCATTAGTTGCTGAAAAATAGATGGACCTGTTTTAAGACCAAATGGTAGGCGATCGTACTGAAACAAGCCACGATGAGTATTTATGGTCAAAAACTCTCTCGAATCTTCAGCCACTTTCACTTGTAGATAGGCATCAGCGAGATCCAGCTTTGCAAAGAACTTCCCATCATTTAACATCGTGAACAAATCTGCAGCGACTGGCAGTGGGTAATGATGCTGTTCGAGAGCTGCGTTAAGACCTGTGGAAAAATCTGCGCATATTCGGATTGTGCCATTAACCTTCTTAATAACCACAATGGGTGCTGCCCAGGTAGAATAAGAAACAGGTGTAATAACTCACTGTAGTTGAAGGCGGTTAAGTTCTTCGTCAACTTTCGATAATGCTGCGTACGGCACTGGTCTCTTTGGACGGAAGACAAGTTTAGCTCCAGGTTTCAACCGAAGTCTTGCTTTCATAGCAGTGCACTGACCCACTACAGGCTGGAAAATGGTTGAAAACTCCGTCATTAGTTCTTTCGAATATGCTTCAGGTTCATGAGGTTTTTCACCAGATGGCATACGGTGCTTAACGGAAAGTCAGCTAAATGTAGCTGATCAAACCAGTCTAACCCAAGTAGATTAAGATCAGCTGGTGTGATGTAACATACCCCGGTAAACGTCGAATCTTAAAAAGACACTTTACAATCTAGTTGTCCCAACAAACGTATATAATTACCGCATGCAGTTCGAGGTTTCCGTGTTGTTGGCACCGTGCGTGGTCTTCCCATTCTGATTCAATATTTTCGTGAGAGAATTGTTACGTCAGATGCAGTGTCTATTTGCAATCTAAACTGGTTATCAAGGTTAAATTTGAATAAGTCTTCGTAAAGTCGAAACCACATATCAAACGTGACATTGGATTCCGGATCGTAATGAAACTCGGAGATACTGTTAGCGATACCATCAACTGATGGTGCGGTAGTAGTAGGATTAGAACTGCTTGGTTGAGTATTAGACGTAAGCTTTGTATCTGCTAACATCTGAATAAGTTTTATCTGCTGCTCGAGTAATAATTCAAGTTTAGAAAGATCCATGTTTCCGAAACCACCGTCGCCAAATTTGCTAGCTTTTGAAGCTATCACAAGTTCACTTAATCTGCGAACGAGAACAAGACTCGGTGACCAAAGACCAGTAAGCTAGCTATTGATGCGTCCCAGCCCCGCTATCTAGAAGGAGAAGTCCAAGCTTAGAATGGGAAGCATATTCTGCAAACAACCAGAAAATAAGCGACTCAACAAACACACTTTAAAACGTACATATATATATATATATATATCGATATTGCCATAGAGCTTTTAAACATTTAATCGATAAGTTCGTCAATCGACTATGTGCGTGGGTGGTAAGAAATGCCCACGCATACATCTGCATACAAGCTCCACAAGATAAAATTACAAACTATGAGTTTTTGGAGATCTATCGTCCCCAACAAAAATTTAGCTAAAAAGATACTGTGTGCGACAATAGTGTCAGTATATAAAAGCTATTGAACTGTTTCAATAACGTCCATTCTGATATTAAATTCATCGGTAACGAGGAACATGACGTCCATTTTTCAGAAAGATGAACGAATTAATAAAAAGGAGTCAGTTTGAAAATAATACATTGACTAGTCAGTACACTCATTTCCACAACATTACACCTCTTCAGTACAAAATAAATCTGGTTAACCATCTTAAGCATAAAACCAGACTATAATGTCCTGAGGTTAGTGTGTATGAGAAAATAAATAAAGTGAATACACTACGAAGTAACGGATATCAAAATAATTTTATTAAAATGTATTCATCTAAACTAAAAACAAAACAATTAAACCCACCAAACTCGACGAGTTTTGAAGTCAAATTGATCACGTAACCGATTATCTTGAGTAGTTCCACGAACACATAATACCAGAAGCCTGAAACCTTTAGGAGCATCACGAACAAGACGGTCATATGTAGAAGGATTTAATGAGACAACAGGAGTAAGTGCAGATGACCTAGACATAAATACAAAACAATAAATACTTATGGTACTACTATTAGCTAGAACTCTAGACTTGATGCTTACAACCGTTTTTTGTAATTTCTGAGGACATTGTTGACTTATTACTCCAAAAATATCAAAAGGTAACATATTTAATGATCGAAAGATATCATCCCAATGACAGAAAATATGGGCTTTTAATCTACAACAGAACTTCAGAGCTCAGAATCAAACAAAAAAAGGAGGTTTTGAGGACATTCGTAGCACTTGTAAGTTGTGATCTTGTATTTCTATAGTAAAACCACACGAGTCATGGATTAAAACTACTCATTGAACTTTCAGTTATTGTGACTAAAATTTTAGGAGACAGGAAGTTCCATGAAGTAGTGAAGGAACAGAAGACAATGGACGTATGCCTATACCAAACGTTCCAAAGCTTATCTAATTAGAACATTATATATACATATATTCTCCTTTAAGCATCATCGATGAACAAGGAGAATCGGATGCAGGTGTAAAGGAGAGGATTGGGAAAAGAAGGACCGCGTTTCCACAATTGAACAAACAAAATATGTAACTCAAAACAACTATCTGTCAACCAATATCAAAGCCACAATCTTCAATACGAACTTCAAGATAGTCATTTCTACTATAAGGAGCTGAAACTTCTACAAATACCACAACCATCATCAATAAGGTACAAGTATTTCTCAACAGTTGTCTACGTAAGATATTAAATATTCATTGACCAGATACCATTACAACAGCCTATGGGAGAGGACAAACAAGCTTCCAGCTGAAAAGAAAATCAGGAAAAGACGTTGGAAGTGGATAGGACATACATTACAGAAATTACCTAATGGTATCACGAGGTAATCCCTAACATGAAATATTGAATAGAAATAGAAAAGAGGAAGGTCAAGGAATACACTATGTCGGGGATCAGAAGCAGATATGAAAAGGATGAGTAAGAACTGAAAAGGATTGCCCAGAACAATGTTGAATGAAAAGTGCTAGTGGGCGGTCTGTGCTCCTCTACGAGGGTTAGTCAGTCAGTCAGTCAACTAAAACATAGGACCAGGCACATACATTTATTTATTCATTTATCTGAACACATAAATATTGGTACAAGAGGTCACCAAATATAAATGCGCCACACATATATTCATCGCTCCAAGTTGCCATACCTCATTAGCACAGCAAGATAAACACTGGATTCATAGAAGTAAAGTCAATGGTGGTAATATATAAAAGAAAGATTAAATATAAGGATATAGTGCAGGAAGAAAGATTTCGTACGTAGAAAGAAAGATATGAAGTGATTTTAATCTCTTAGTTTAAGGGAAGACAGAGAGTGTATACATCGACCCCATTGTGATCGATTCTGAGCCATGTCACCCACAGTCTCCGACCACTGGTTACGATAGTCACACGGACCCCAACCAAATAGTCTGCATCTACTAACATGGCTAAGACTAGAAGTTGGTGAAATTATAGACTGATGCCACGTTTTGGTTTGGAGGCCCCTATTTTTCTTCCAACCATCCCCAACACTATTCAGCATTGCGCTTCGTGGTAATTGGTGTTCAGACATATGTAACACATGGCCCAACCATCTCAGTCTATGAAGATTCACAACTTCATCAACATATATACAAGTAAAATCGATTTAGGAAAAGAAGCATTTAAAATATTTCATGTATTTTAGACTACAACCAAGCATATGTTGATGAATCAATCTATTATTTTTTATTATCAAAACTAATTCATCATTATCGATGTAGGAAAACAACTTATTACGGTCTTGAATAAATCATAAATGTACACTACTATAAAGAACATCTAACTATGCCGAAACAGCGTTTCAGTGCTCCTTGATTATAAGTGGCTCTCCTAAATGACGCATTAATTCGTTGATGAAAACCATATACTGAGATTAGATGGTGGTTGGAAGTATTCAACAGGAAACCTTGGACCCGGGTTTCGTGCTACTTGGAACTCGTCAGCAAGATGTACCTGTAATCTTGAGGGAACTGGTGCTCCCTGACGGATTCGATCTCATGTCACCCAGATTTACAGTCAGAGACGTTACCACTGGAATATCCGGGCCACGACCGCATTCGATCTGCACTAAGAAGGACTTGACACACATGATATTGATCACCACCCAGTGATCAATCAATTGTGAAAACAATCAAACAATAAAAAAACAGAAATAAAACAAAACTACTGACCCTTCAGTAAATTTACACTGACTACTACTGCTATTATTACTATAATTACTACTATTTTTATCACTAGTAGTACTGTTTGATGAGAATGATGTATTAACATCTTGATATGTTTCGTTGTAACGCTTCTTCGTAGTACAATTATTCTGCTGTTCATTTCTTGTTGCTTGTACAAGTGTTGATATCAAACTGAATAAGAGTAAACCGATGATAATCGTAAAACTTGAAAAAACAAACGCCAAAGGATGATTTACAACGCTGTATAAAAGAAAAAGACCAGAGAGAAAAATTAATATGGTAGAATGATTAAAGAATGAAACATATATATACATACTAGGTTACGATTATTTGGTCATAAATGACTTCAAGGCACTGTTCGTGTATCTTTGATCCACAGAGTGAGAGATACTGATGTTAAATGCATGGTAATAGGCAAATAATGACAAATCGATTGACATATTAGTAAATCTCAATTGACTGAGGTGATCTGGAAATGCAGTACGTACAACAAACAATTGCATAGACTTTGAAGCAACGATGATGGTTGACGTAGAGGTCAGTTGGAAAAATGCTAACGATGACAAAACCGAAAATTGGAACCAGTCCAAGAATTCACTAACCACCAGACAGAAATACTGCAAACAGGTTAGGGTCAGCCAGATAAGCATAACTAGTGTTTAGAGATATTGTATGATATGACTCAGAATTCATCACAATGCAATAAATGCAAACAATTCAGTTATCGCTTAGATTCTAATTTTAGTAAATATTTTAGTTTTTCATTACACGAAAATATGATCTCTCTAAAAATCAAGCTACATTCTTTCGAGTTACCATTAGAACTACTACAACCTAATAAAGAAAAGATGTTATTTGGTGGTCTGCTTAAATAACTGGGCTACCTGTTTTTGCCATCTAAATATTTCAATAAGTCATCTGTTGTTTATTTTGTTTTAACACCTCATTATGTCTGTTAATCGCATAACCTATAGAGGTGTGTTTATGAAAAACATATGACACAAGTTACAAAAAAGTACAATAACAGATATCGTGGTAGTTGGCAATATGCATTGAAAAGAATGAACATTAATCGTATGTCGATTCCCGAGTTGCTAAATTCTAACTGCCGATCACTAATTAACAAGATGGACTATCTCCAATTCCTACTAAGCCAAAATATCTATCGTAATTGTGGTGTCATCACAATTCAAGAATCTCGGTTAAATAATTTACAGGATGACTGCCTAGTATCCCCACATGATTTCAATATTTATCGTTAGGATCGATCAAGCAATAAAAAGTTGTTTGGCAGCAGTGTAGCTACATTTGTAAACGTACACTGGTGTCGATCTACCTTTGCGTGTTTCAAGTTTTCAAATGACTTTGTCGACTGTCTAACTCTAAGATGCTGTTCAAAACATCTGAATAAATACAAGTATGTTTATGTTACCAACATCTACGTAACTCCAGACGGCACATCATCTGTAATATCTGTTTTCGCTGATGAATTCACTGAATTCGTTGTTACTAACTTTAGTGGTTCATTTTCAATTGTATGTGTTGATTTCAATTCATGTGGTTTCCATTACTAGGTCACCAAAATGTAGTAGAACTTCCCACTCGTTTAGATGATCATCTAGACTTCGTTTTCATTGATGAGGTGGGTACATATGTAGAACGAGACGTCAATACATTAAAACCCATGCACGCAAGCAAAAGTATAAAAGTTCTATAATACTTTACCTAGCAAATATACTGTGTGACGAACAGGTTGTTAGAGTCGACCTAGTCAATAACCTGTATTCTTAAACATATCTCTAACTAAAAGGTTGTACAGTCTCTCACACTCACAAAAACTTTTGGCTTGATCTTGTATAATTATTTTCTATCTCCTGATATGATACGGTCTGATTCGCTAGAACACAAACTGCGTTTGTCTTAAATACATGATTCATATAGTGGAAGTTGAGATTGTATTCCTGACTCAAGCGGATAGCGCTAGGTGAGAAGATCCAATAAGAAATCAGAGTTGAGATTAGACTGCTCATACTGATTAACGCATCATCGGTTTGACACAATGTCAAGGTCGCGTAAGTCAGTGTTCTGATCGGCGATTTAGTCACGTGAAATTTGATGGGGCTTAGGACACAACAGTATGTAGCAAGGATTGGATGTAAAACTCTCATTGACAGAAGACGAAAATAAGGAGAAGAGAAAAATGTGGAAAGCCTCCAAATGCCCTGGTAATGCCGAGAGTGAAGAGATTCACCTCTCTCGAAATGCTCTCACATGGTCACGCGTATACAGCCACTACCAGGGAAGTCCTACCCACTACCTTCTCGTGGTGGCTTCTTGTTTACGAAATCAAGAGGACAAAAGGCGTGTTTCTGACGCCTTAACCGGGTTGGTGGATACGGAGGGTTCATCTAGGGGAGATGGGAAACCCTGATGCCAAACCAATAGTGCACGTAGCCTTCAGTACCCTGAGAGAACAAATGGCGTATGAACCAATCGTTGGTCACCGGCTACCATCAAACTGTATCCTAACGTTGCTCCACTGCCTTGTGGATCAGACCTTTAGGTCGACGGCTTCGGGTGTAGCCCCCTAAGAAAACCACCTGCTTCGATTTGGGTACCCGAGCAGTATCGCAGCCCACACACAAATCAAGTGACTTGTGTGGTGCATATGTATTCGGTGCCGCTTTGTACAAATATTTATGAGTTCAAATAAATAAATAAATAACACAATAGATTTATAGGGGAAAACTCAACGAAGATGCGCAAATGGTGCATTTAATGTATTGTTTTTATATTTTACAATTGCAGTGTAATTATGCAGTTGGTTTTTCGCTTGACGATGTCTTCGTTATTTAAATGAGGTGATTTAATACTTTAAACAAAAAAAGAAATATGTAACTGTAATCTATCTACTTGTTCAGCATAATTTAACGTCAACCGAGAAGAGATCAATATATCTGAATAACTAACCTACTGAGAAGAGAAAGAAAAAAAATCAACTTACTCAAACATCGAATGTCCAATATCCACAAGAATCTCTAACAGCCTATTTCTCATTCTAATCCATATTGACGCTACTAATTCATCAATCATTAATTCTTCAATCATACAATCTTTCAGTAGATACCATTGAGATACTAATTTATCAATTGAATGACTAAAATGATTTGATGGATTAATTAATTTGTCAATAGTAGATACTGTTTGGATAATATTTTTTAAATCATCCATTAAAGCAGTATGCATTTGTTCAGTAAATTTTAGTATTAAACTTTTTAAATCATTTGATTTAAGCATTTTTTCATTTAAATGAATTCTTGGATGAGACATTGAATTAGTGGGAAGAAGTTGATAAAATGTTTCAGTTGAACTGATACGCCAAATTAATGCTAAACGGCCTATATTATCTGAAGTATAAAAAAAATAAATTTCCCGAAAACACTAAAAACAGGTAATAATTTTCAGAGGTTTAACGGATACAACAAAGTTTCTCGATATTTGAGGTGGACCTATCGGTTCATGCAACTAGGTTCAAATTACTTGACTGAAGTAGTCGTGATTATCGTAATCAATGATTGGAGATTTTGGATGATATGGCTCAAAACAGTTCTCAAGGGAACATAATCATTCACTATTTTCGACCCCTTAAATTTTGGGTTTCCAGATTATCTTCGATTCATTTCAATTTCATAGACTCATTCATTCATATCGAATTATATCGTCTAGATCTAGTCTTTTCTACTGCTACTGCTATTACTTCTACCAATCTGACGTTTTTCTTGATAATTTCATCTTTTTACACTGATATGGTGTAGGAACTTGGTGCATGGTAGATTTTAAGTTTCATATGATTAAATGACTATCTGACTGATAAGCAAGACACCAAACGAACTTATGAAAATCGCCGATATTCTTAAATACAGAGATTCAGCTGTTTACAGCGTTACAGAAAAATTCATGTAATAAATTTTCAGCCCAAAAGGTAGAGAGAATGTGCAAGTATCAGTTCATGACCATATAATGATAATCGAGCAGTAACAAAAATTCAACGTCACTGATGCAAGTGTAAAAGAAAGAAAATAAGAAATGTTTAGTCATTTAACTGTTATTAAAAACTCACTATCCTAGCCGGTCATTTTGTATATTGTTATAAGTGCATTCATGAGTTTGTGTAGATAATTTGACCTCAATAACAGCTATACGTCTGTCACATCGTATTACCAGGATTCACATATCAATCAGTTTTGTAATTATCACTTCGACAACCCTGAACGTGCATCATTTAAACACTTCATAGCCATCATATAAACCTTATTGCATCCTAGTTAGGCACAGAACAAATGCAATTTCATTAAACATGTACACATTTTGAAAACCGAATGGCATCAGTGCATTTTATTATGCAAGAACTATGTAGATAAATGATAAAATCTCCAAATGAGGTAGAGTTTACAAATCACAGGAAAATTTAGGAAGTAGGTATTTGATAGTACTTAATTCTGGGTAGGGTAAAGTAAGTTGTGTTACTTTTAGGGTCAACTTTTTTCCTATTCCTACTTTTGCGTGAGAAGGTAACACCGACTCAGAGACTGATTGTTTGATGAGAAAACTTACTCTAATTGTACCCCAGCACGGTTAGTAGTACGACATTGCCCATGAACCTTTACGTTGTTGCGTTAAGACATCTTTCCAACAACCTACCTGGAGTATTGGGACCTTAAGAAATGCGTGTTCTAGACAATATAACTTGATTAGATTATTATAACAATCGAGCCCAATCACCACTTCAAGGCACCACCTGGGATTGGGCCTCCAAGTCAACCTTCCTCCGGGTAGTGTGGGAATTTCTGCAGTGATTTTATTCATTCCAGCAATAGTGGGAGCGTTAAAATATACTAGGAGTCACATACACACGCCGACTACGAAATCCCAAATGAAACTCACCTTCATTAAGTAAATTACACGATTCATTTGAACATGTAGAAGATGTACTTAATTTTTGCATCAAACTAATTTGACGATCCACATAAATATGTACAGGCATAAAATGATAACTATGTTGATTTGTATGATATAATTTTGATAAATCTGTTTGAGATAATTGTAATGTACGGCGTAACATAGTTAACCATATATCACCCCAACTGTTTACTTGTTCAACATTTGATAATTTTGAATTTAACAATAATACTAAGCATAAGTGACGATGATTAGAATGATCAGTATAATGTTTATCTGATTCTAATGCATATTTACTGGTTGGTTTACTTCCATCAGTTGGGCATAAATCCAACAGTCGTGCACGACTATATATTCTAGGGATATTTAATTGACTATAAGCTAACATTGCATTATCCAATAAAGTAGGTGATAATTTTGTAGCTGATTGACGATAGACAGGTATACTTGAATCTTCATGATATATCAATAAGGTCTCCTATGGTGAAAAAGATAATATCTAGTTTAGATTGATTATATTTGCTATATAACAAAAACGGCTAGATAAGTGTTTTAAAATGAGGTAAATAGAATTGCGGAATTCCTCTATCCATGCTAAGAAAATTTTTTAAAGTAAAAGATTTTAATATTATGTGATAGAACGGTAGCTGCTACCTTGACGTGGTGGTCGGGCTTGCCTATCGTGATGACTCAACCGAGTTATATTGGCTGGAGCGTATGTCCCTGTAGGTTCTGCCATGCCAGGCAGGTCGATTGGAGAACGGTAAGACTAAAAGCAGCAACTCAAGGTCTGAAGGCGAAGTCGTACTGCTGACTGTACAGAGGTGTGACAGCAGTAAGGTGTTTCCCTCGGACAACCAGCATCTGCAACGATGCTGCCTTCTCACAAGGAAGGAAGGGGTTAGAAAAGGTTGACCCTGAAAATGTCATACCTCACCTTACCCCACGGATTTCCGTCTCCGGCGGTAAGGCCCTTTGAAGAACGGAGCTAACACATTAAAAACCTCACACAAAAAGGCCGTGCGCGACCGGCCTCAAGCAGTTGTCCCTTGGGCTCTGCGGTCACGCTCCCAGGTCTTCAAGACCAACACTAATCTGATTTCCTTTTCAGGTTCCTCAAGAAATACCCTTCCACGATGTGGGCAACCGGGAAGTGACATCAGCCTTCATACCCGTAACAGCACACGAGACCAAGTTGGTCACATTCAAATCCTTCCTACACCTCCTAATAACTCTCTTATCTCCACGACCAACCCTTCTCACGTCCCTTTATCACCTCGCCCCGCTAGGACAAAAGATTCGAGTACGCGGAATGTTAATCCAGGTCTCCTGAAACCACGCTCTAAACTACACGTAGGAGCTTTCAACGTCCGAACACTGTGCCAAATAGGACAACAGGCTTGCTTAGCTAAGACTTTAGAATCTCGCTCCATCGATGTGTGCTGCGTCTCTGAAACGCGCACACAGGATCCTAGTAGTGTCATTCATTTGACTGCACCATGTCAAAGTAACGAACCAAATCGATTTACGCTTCGTGTATCTGGAAGCCCTGATGCTGCATCCCGTGGCCTCGCTGGCGTAGGTATAGCATTGAGTCCTAGGGCAGAACTAGCTCTCTTAGACTGGATCCCAGTAGACAGTCGTTTGTGTGCTGTCCAACTAAACGGAACAGTAAGGACTCGAAAAGATAGGGACACTCGTCGTTGCCTCTTCGTCGTCTCTACCTACTCTCTCACTGACTGCAGCTCAGATGATGTAAAAGATGAGTTTTACAGAAAGCTTTCCGACCTTCTCCGAAAAGCTGGGCGCTCTGATGTAGTAATAGTGGCTGGTGACCTTAATGCTCAAGTAGGTAAACTAAGCGAAAGGGAAAAACACCTAGGTGAATCTTATGGTGTCGCGGCTCAACGAACAGATAACGGCGACCGTCTGTTGCAGCTATGCTCAGATAACCGCCTGTTTCTTGCAAACACTAACTTTAAGCATAAGGAAAAACATCTTTTAACATGGCGACCCCCTAATTCGTCTCAACGCTGGACCCAAATAGATCACATCGCTATCAGCCACCGATGGAGGGGCTCGATAGAAGACTGTCGCTCATTCTGGAGCACATGCTTAGACTCAGATCATGCTCTAGTGCGAGCGCGCATTTGTCTACGTCTTACTGGAAGTAGGAAAGATGGTGCAAGGAAACCCCTTAGGGTCCTACTTAATGATAGTCAAGCTAAGAGTATATTTCAGGAACATCTAGAAAAACAGTTAGGCAGCCATGTAAGTGATGCCCACCCCGAGGCAGTGTGGAATGACATCCGGAAAGCTGAAGAAACAGCAGTGATGTCTGCAAGTACGGTAAACCATAAGGTTAGAGAGAAACACTGGATCTCAGCAGCATCTACCGCACTGATAGATGCTCGAAAACTCATTCCATCTGGCTCTGAACATAACGAAGAGCGGAGTCAGCTTAAGCGTAAGCTGACTAGAAGCTTACGCAATGATCGTGAACAGTGGTGGGTAGCGAAAGCAAGAGAGATGGAAAAGGCAGTGGCAATAGGTAACAGCAGGCAACTGTTCAGACTTGTTAAGGAAACCGGTATTAGGAACCCAACTGTTAGCGAAACAATCTCAGAGAAAGATGAACATATTATTCATTCTCAATCCAGGAGATTGGATCGATGGGCAGAATACTTTAGGGATCAGTTCAACTGACCTTCAGCCACACTTCGGTTTCCCACGATCCCCAGTCGACCTGAATGGCAAGTTGATGTAAGTCCTCCGACTCTTTACGAAGTTGAAAAAGCTATAGGAAATCTGAAGCGTGGGAGAGCAGCAGGCCCTGACAGGTTTACCCCTGATATTTTTAAGGATGGCGGTCCAGTATTAGCAGCGAGATTGACTAAGATCTTAGGTAGAATCTGGGAACCGTACGTAATCCCATCTGACTGGTCTCAATCACTGATTGTACCAGTCTATAAGAAAGGACAAAAGTCTTCTTGCGACAATCACAGAGGAATTAGTTTGACTAATATAGTGTCTAAAATATTAGCTTCAATAATACTTCGACGTCTAACCAAAGCTCGTGAAGAGCAGACTAGAGAAAAGCAGGCTGGTTTTCGACCTGGACGTGGTTGTATTGATCAAATATTCACATTACGTCAGGTCCTAGAACATAGACACACATTCGGACGTCCCACAATGGTAGTATTTCTCGACCTTAGGGCGGCATTTGACTCTGTTGATCGTTAGGTTCTATGGCAATGTTTGTCACTGAAGGGAGTACGAAAGAAGTACGTCAACCTTATAAAGGCTCTCTACTCGAACACAACTGGTCGAGTGTGAACTTATGGTGAACTGTCATCAGAACTGATTACCTCAAGTGGTGTTCGTCAGGGCTGTCCACTCTCTCCATTCTTGTTTAACTTTGTTGTTGACGTCCTTTTAGAGATGACACTTTCCTCATCTAAATTTCTAGGAGTTGAACTTCTACCGGGAAATGCACTTTTTGACTTAGAATATGCCGATGACATAGTTCTATTTGGTGAAGACGCTGATAAAATTCAGAGTTTGCTGACCACTCTAAGCAATAATGCAGGCATGTTCGGCATGCGATTCTCTCCCTCGAAATGCAAAATGTTACTTCAGGATTGGGTTGCGTCGACACCGAAACTAGTGATAGGGAGTGAAGTAGTTGAGCGTGTCGACCGCTTCACTTATCTCAGACGTCTCATCAGCCCTTGTGGTTTAGTGTGTGACGAAATCTCAGCACGGATACAAAAGGCTCGACTAGCTTTTGCCAACTCGCGTCATTTGTGGCGTAGGCGAGATATCCGTCTATCAACCAAAGGACGTGTTTACTGCACAGCAGTTCGTTCCGTCCTACTTTATGGCAGTGAAACATGGCCGGTAAGAGTAGAGGATATTCGTAGGTTACTAGTATTTGATCATAGATGTCTTCGAAACATTGCTCGTATATCCTGGGACCACCGAGTAAGTAACTCAGTTGTTAGGAAACGGGTACTAGGTAAGGATGGAAAATCAATTGATGAAGTAGTGAAACTCAATCATTTGAGATGGCTGGGACATGTGTTGCGCATGCCCGACCACCGACTGCCCCGACGTGCTATGTTTTATGGTGTAGGAGTAGGTTGGAAGAAAGCTATGGGGCGGCCAGACCAAAACATGGCACAAACCCATGAAGTCACTGACAAGTGGACTGAGCCATGTTGGTAGGTGTAGACTACCTGGTTGGGGACCGCGAGACGATAGCAACCGATGGTTAGAGACCTTGAATGACATGGCTCAAAATCGTTTGCAATGGCGCAGGTGCATCCACTCTTTGTGTTCTCTCAAACTCTAATCTTATGAATTCTTCATGTCCTTTATTTTCTTTCCCAATTTATTCCACTGGACTATACTCCTTTAATAACATCATCAAACCTTAATGTCCCCTATCTCTACTTATACTTTCAGTACCTCTACCACTATGGGATTTGAATCGATAACTGAATCTCTGTGCTAATGTGGTATGACAACTCGAACTGATGTACGTACGTACGAAGTTCCACGTTGTTACTGACTGACTGACCTATTGTAAAACACGACAATAGACAGGAGGTATTCATACTTTTTGAGAGAAGTTACAAAATATTTAAATAATACATATCAATAGCATTCAATCGTCAATTTACATACTTCGGTGTGTTGTTCTGTCATCTGAAGTGTGTTCTCATCCGGTCTCAAAATGTTATGCTAACGCTGAGCTATTGATGCACTGGAAATCATCAGTGAATATCATCATTTTCATTAAACCTGACCTGTCCGAGTTGAGGATGTTAGACGACTCTCTGTGTTCGATCATCGTTGTCTCCGAAGGATTGCTGACATCCAGTGGCAACACCATGTTAGTAATGCAGAGGTTCGGCATCGTGTGTTCGGGCACAGAGACGATAATGCAATTGATGTCACCATCATGAAACACCGACTTCGGTGGCTCGGACATGTTCTACGAATGTCGTCCCAGAGAATTCCACGTCGTGCATTATTTGCCGACGCTGGGACTGGTTGGGAAAAGTGGAGAGGTGGTCAGTGTATGACATGGTGTCGTGGTATGAAAGAAAGCTGCAAAGGGCTGGCTTGTGTTGGTCCTTCACGACTCCTTGGCTGGGGTTCTAGAGATGGTGCAACACAGTGGCTAGAAACGCTATCAGATATGGCTCAGAATAGAAGCCAGTGGCGATCCTGCTGTAACCTTCTTTTACTTTCTTCGTAAAAATTGGTTGCCTCTTCTTTAGCTGAAAGATTTCTTTTGATTGTACCTTTTCGTTTGCCCCATTATTACTACTATTACACTACCTCACACTAATCTGGTCTTTATTGTTCTCTTGTTTTTTTTATTCCCTACGCTCCTTACCTTTCTTTCGCTTCTCTTTAAATTCTCATTGTTTTGTGTGGCGCATATATATTTGGTGCCCCCTTGTACCAATATTTATGTGTTCAAATAAATAAATAAATAAACTGGAACTCTTCACTCCGTCTGACAACTGTGACAACTTCGACGTCATGTTCCGCTACATTTGACTTATAAACAATCTTGTGATTGACGTCCACTACACCATGAGTGCAATCGAACTAGATGAGAAAAGCTTCGAATTTATGATGTGATATTTAAAATTTTCATTCGCCAGCCACACCCGAAGCCTTCAACCTAAAGATCTAATCCACAAGGCAGTGGAGCAACGTTAGGATACAGTTTGATGGTAGCCGGTGACCAACGATTGGTTCATACGCCATTTGTTCTCTCAGGGTACTGAAGGCTACGTGCACTATTGGTTTGGCATCAGGGTTTCCCATCTCCCATAGTTGAACCCTCCGTATCCACCAACCCGGTTAAGGCGTCAGAAACACGCCTTTTGTCCTCTTGATTTCGTAAACAAGAAGCCACCACGAGAAGGTAGTGGGTAGGACTTCCCTGGTAGTGGCTGTATACGCGTGACCATGTGAGAGCATTTCGAGAGGGAGAAGTGACTCTCTCCACCCTCAGCCGTACCAGGGCATTTGGGGGTGATGATAAATATACAGAGCATTTCATTCAAAAGCACTACATACATGCAGAAAATGATAACTTCAAGATACTATACAAAATGTGAGACAAAATGAAAATTATGGTGTAAACCAGATTACAAATTTATTTAAATACCTAAATACAGATACATAAATACAGACACACACTAGGACTAACCTCATTTGGATTTACATTGAATTCCTTAGCAAGATTATGATTGTTAACAGGTTCAGAATTAATATAACCAGCAGCCAAATGATCTGCTGCTCTGAAAGCAGCCACACAATACCGTAACGGTGGTAAAGTTAATGGTTTAATAAGTACCATTCTTGGTCGACTGTCACGACGCCAACCATAATGAAAAGTATTAGCAAATGTATCATAATCATTAATACTTTGTATTAATGGTGTATCGATTGTTGTGCTAAGAAATATTGGTAATGCCTTAGATCGTGAAGGATTCGATTTCATGATTGCACTTCTTAATGCATCAATAAGACTATTATGACTGAAATCACCTCGAGAATAATAAGAAACCTGAAAATTTCCAAAAAATAAAGAACAAAAGCCAAGATTATCGCAGTCAAAAATGATTGAAGAAATAGTTTGTTTTCTTTGTATCAGCATTACAAAAATGACTTTATAAGAATGTTGCTTGGTTAAGAGAATTTTATTATGTAAACATTGTGAAGTCGTAGTTTATTTGTCTAAAACATTATATAACTTAGCTGCTACCAGTTTTTAGGTTAAAATTAAGCTTCAGTTACTTTGGCTGAATCAATCGCTTATACAAAGTGTATAGGTGAGAAACGTTTTGATATATGGTCGTGAAACCTGACACCTCAGAGCAGAGGATTTTCAGTGACTGTATATTTCACCAGTATTGCCTCTGAAAGATCATTCATATATGCTGACCAGAACGTATGGGTGATTGCAAGGTCTGGTGATGGTAATTCCATCAATGTCACGATCGTGAAACAACATCGGCGGCTTAAACGTGTCATTACAGCAAGATCCAATGCTGCTGTTGGGTGGATAAATCTGAAAGGCAATCAGCTAGTGACATAGCATCGTGGAGTGACTCTTTTGTTGGGATACTAAAGAGTATGTAACTCAGTGGCTTGAGATTTCATCAGATATGAACCAGCATAAAGCGCAATAACGACCCTGTTATATCTTTCTACTACACCATTTATAACAGTAGAATAAACATTAGTAACTGGAATCCCATTTTAGTTATTTTTTTAATTTGACAGTATCTTTTGTCATTAATATCCTTGTTCGTAAGTAATTAATGATCGACAATGAATAATTCAAACTTCATGAAACCGCAACACAGTTTCTCGTCAAAGAAGCACGCCCCACAGTTCACTAAACAAAAAAAAACAATTGCGTGATCAGTATTCACAATGTAGCTTCCTCTGAGCAGCATAACAGTAATATCAGAGAAAGTACATCAAAAAACGTAAAGGGAAAAAAGACTATGTACATCAGCTGATATCACATATATAAATAACAAAATTTGGCATATTCAACAGGTATAGGTTTATGTAATCAGCTTTCAGTCAACGTTGTGCTTGACTTTTAGTTAGATTTGTGAGGCTAAGCGATACCACCTGGTTGTTTTGATCGAATTCGAAAGGGTATGGTCGTAGACTACGACCTACTGACTGGAAGTCAAGTATTTTAAACAATAAGCAATTGCTGCATAATGATCATAATTACATATGTTGTCTGCATAAAAAATTGTACGAAAAGATTTCTTATCAACGATACTATTTATTCTATGTAAGGTTTTATTTTCCATTTACCGTGAAATACAAGTGATAAATTTTCCTGACCTGAAAAGACAACTGTATCTACAATAAGTCCTTTCAGAAAAGAAAACCGAAAAACATCTATGAGCTAACCTGTCCATCAACAACTATTGTCACACTCGGAACATGTAATACGCGTAGCTCTTCACGCAGTGCAGAATCATGTTCTAAATTAACACTAGCCACAGTAATCCCCAACGGAGTAAGCTCATCTGCTAATTGTGACCAAATGGGACGAACTTGACGACAAGGAAAGCAAAAGTCAGAATAACCAAATATGAACAAAGGCACCGTTCGAGATCGTGGGAGATGGGTTAGGCGATAGCTTCGAAAGTCGATATTCTTTAAACAATAGCAAATAAAAATATGAAACTAAATAGTGACAGAATAATTTATTAGAAACTTTAAATTTGAATGAATAATTTCTTAGTTGGGCGCTGATTTAATGTAAGATTATTAATTATCTTGATGTTTTATTATATTTCCTTGACAAAAATTGTATCAGACGGCCAAGCGAAACGTTGAATTCACATAAACTTTAAGTCACTGAAACTTTTGGAAAGATAATTCTCCTCCCTACTATCTAACAAGTGATACATTTGTTTAACATCGTACTAACCAGTCTAAATCATGATGACTAAGAACAACCAATTGCTCATACTCATAAATTAATATGCGGTTTAGTGAAGGCTCTAATTACCAATAGGAATAAGATCGACAGAATAAAATAAACTCATGTGATTGTGAACTTTATTAGGTAACGAACAACTTCGAATATTGTCCGAAATGACACGATTGTTGAATTATTATTATTTAAACACATAAACATTGGTACAAAGGGGCACCGAATACATATGCACCACACAAGTCACTTAATTTGTGTGTGGGTTGTGATACTGCCCGGATGCCCAGACGGGAGCAGGTAGCTTTCTTAGAGAGCGCCACATCAGGAGCCTTCGACCTAAAGGTTTGATCCACAAGGCAGTTGAGCAATGTCAGGAGATGCAGTCCCATGTTAGCCGGTAACCAACGACTGGTTCATACGCCATTTGTTCCCTTAGGATAGTGGAGCTAATGTACACTATTAGTTTGGAATTAGGGGTCACCATCTCCCCTAGATGAATACTCCGTACCAACCAACCCGGTTAAAGCGTTGGACATTCGCATTTCATCCTTTCAATTTCGTAAACAACAGACCAACAGTGAGAAGGAAGTAAGACTTCTCTATTTTATTTATTTGAATACATAAATATTGGCACAAGAGGGCACCAAATATATATGCGCCACACAAAACAATGAGAATTTGAAAAGAGAAAAACAAAAAAGAGGTTAAGGAACGTAAAAAAAGAAGAACACCAACGAACAGATTAGTGTAAGGTAGTGTAATGATAACGATAATAATAGTAATAGTAATAATAATATTAATAATAATAATAATAATAATAATAATAATAATAATGGGAGAAACGGAAAGGTACAATCAAAAGAAATCTTTCAGTTAAAGAAGAGGCAACCAATTTTTACGAAGAAAGTAAAAGAAGGTTACAGCAGGATCGCCACTGGCTTCTATTCTGAGCCATATCTGATAGCGTTTCTAGCCACTGTGTTGCACCATCTCTAGAACCCCAGCCAAGGAGTCGTGAAGGACCAACACAAGCCAGCCCTTTGCAGCTTTCTTTCATACCACGACACCATGTCATACACTGACCACCTCTCCACTTTTCCCAACCAGTCCCAGCGTCGGCAAATAATGCACGACGTGGAATTCTCTGGGACGACATTCGTAGAACATGTCCGAGCCACCGAAGTCGGTGTTTCATGATGGTGACATCAATTGCATTATCGTCTCTGTGCCCGAACACACGATGCCGAACCTCTGCATTACTAACATGGTGTTGCCACTGGATGTCAGCAATCCTTCGGAGACAACGATGATCGAACACAGAGAGTCGTCTAACATCCTCAACTCGGACAGGTCAGGTTTAATGAAAATGATGATATTCACTGATGATTTCCAGTGCATCAATAGCTCAGCGTTAGCATAACATTTTGAGACCGGATGAGAACACACTTCAGATGACAGAACAACACACCGAAGTATGTAAATTGACGATTGAATGCTATTGATATGTATTATTTAAATATTTTGTAACTTCTCTCAAAAAGTATGAATACCTCCTGTCTATTGTCGTGTTTTACAATAGGTCAGTCAGTCAGTAACAACGTGGAACTTCGTACGTACATACATCAGTTCGAGTTGTCATACCACATTAGCACAGAGATTCAGTTATCGATTCAAATCCCATAGTGGTAGAGGTACTGAAAGTATAAGTAGAGATAGGGGACATTAAGGTTTGATGATGTTATTAAAGGAGTATAGTCCAGTGGAATAAATTGGGAAAGAAAATAAAGGACATGAAGAATTCAGAAGATTAGAGTTTGAGAGAACACAAAGAGTGGATGCACCTGCGCCATTGCAAACGATTTTGAGCCATGTCATTCAAGGTCTCTAACCATCGGTTGCTATCGTCTCGCGGTCCCCAACCAGGTAGTCTACACCTACCAACATGGCCCAGATTGGCATAAGCCGTTCTGGCTTTCACTATACGTGCATTGATCTCATCACTCACGCCACCACCAGCACTTATGCAGCTACCTAGATACACGAACTTCTTGATTACTTCTATCTGCTCACCATCATCACTGCGTAACACCATTCGTGGCCAAACTCCCGGTCACCCGGTTAGACTGACGGGCTTCTATGTGTTGTAAGGAACCAGAAGAAACCCAGTGGTTATAAGCGGAACGTTTCGCGAAGAGGACTTCTCTGACAGTGGCTGTATACGTGTGGTCATGTGAGAGCATTTGAAGGAGCACTGAATTTCCCCACACTCGGCCGTATTAGGGTATTTGGGGGCCTTGTATATTGAAATAAAATGAGATGAATTTGAGAAAATAGAGAGTGCCAACGTTAAACTTGGACGACCAAACTACCGGTTAATGCATGTGAAACCTGGAAAATAAGCCGAACTAGTAGTGAAGGTCTAGTCGACTTGTGAGTATGACAATAGTGTGCAAATCACAAGTGCTTGTAGACAATCGCGATCAACCTTTTTATTAGTGATGACTTTTCATTTTCGCTTCACACTGTTTAGACATTACTAGGCCAGAAGACACTGTAGTGAAAAAGAGCATGCTATTTTAGAGACAACTTATTAACCTCACCTTCCATCTGAGAGAAAACAACACTATATTCAATATACTCTACGTATGTCATCAAAACGACACCTACAATGTGTTAACTGTGACAGTGCTGGTGAAAGTACTTTGGCGAGGTTATAAATTATGGACGAGCCAATCAGAACCTTCATGTCTTGAGGCATAGATGATTAAGTGGCTTTAGTAGTAACAAGGAGACGAATATTATCAGAACTATGTGAAACATTGGCGCAACACATTTCGAACAACTTGATAACACGTATACTTGTTAAGAACATTTATATATAAAAATAAAAGGTCAACTAGACTAAAAATGGAGGGTAAGAGGAGACAATAATAATAAAGAAATAATGAGAAAACAATTTAAAACCTTATCACTCTGGATAATAAGCTAATAACACCAGTATACGCAATTTTACGCTTTTGTACAACACCACAAAAGATGAGTTAAGATCAATCTTATGACCTGTTTCAATTATGTGTTTGGCAACAGATGACGAATGTTTATCCTCTACTCTTATTGGGTTATTCGATTCTATTTGTTTCTGCAACTATTTAGGTACATGTTCATACACCTTAATTTTCAGATCACAATTACTCCTCCCTATTTACGTGTGATTACACACACACACATTTGGATTGGTAAACACAGTGGGATGTGACGCAATCGTTTTCTTGTCTTGTAGGTTTTCGATGGAGCATTAACCTTGTTGTTTGCTTGATAATGTCATTTGTTGCATAATATGTCACACAGTTTTGATAATCTCCATCTTCTTATTATATTGTCAAAATTTAGTAGTAACCTTGATATTATATTTACGTGAAAATCAAATTTACCTTCGAAGTTCTAAATAGAAACAAAAGAGATAAAAATTAACAAGCTAGACATTATCTGCTGCCACAGTCCGTCACTTCCTAATCAACATAAAGCCTGATACGAATGTGTTGATTCTAGTGAAGAAACCGGAAAATTGTCAAACGTGATGGAAAACTATAACCCTGAATAATACATAATATTTGAATATTATTTTCATCATTTTGATGTGTAACTACAGTTACGTATAAACTCACAAGCCTATGTGAATACTGAGAAGACTAGGCTGAATCCTGAACTAATATGCTCTCAGACAGTTGATAGTATTTATTGTAATATATTTACTGTAGATTATCATAGGACTTACAAGGACATTGGTTGAGAATTGTGGCGCACGGATGAACCCCGGAAAGATATCAAAAAGATCTTCAAACGAAGAGTGAACAAATTCGTGACGGTATGGATAATGTCCAGGTGGAGGAGCACTCCCATCCGAATGGACTTTTCCGAAGGTATCATACTCATGTCTTTTCTTAGAGTTGGATAGTACCTAAACAGGATAGAAAAAACTATTCATATTATGAAAATTCTACCTCATAAGCTTCATTTATTTCAATGAACTTTTTGTTTGCTTTATCTGAAGGATTCTTATCCGGATGCCTGAAAATTTACAATAATAAACAAAGCTCATGAACTTCAGAAACTTACCATTTCTTCGCTAGTTTCCTATATGCTGTCTTAATTTCCAAATTTGAGGCAGATTTAGATACTCCAAGGACATCATAATAATCACAAAAAGTATAACGGATGAATAGAGCCAACTGAATAAATAGTGACAATCTCATCCCCTGCAACGCAGTACTCAAAAGAAGCGGTTAGTGTATGGAGACTTGTATATTTTGACGAAGAAACGTTGCGAGTTCAGTCTTCAGTCTTCAGTAATAAGGATAAGAGGTCTATCGACCTGTATTAATCCTTGCAGTTTGTAATACTGTGGAGGTCCAATCTCGTCTTGAATATATCAACAGAAGGTGCTGATATTACGTGTTCCGGTAGAAAATTCCAGTGATTCACTACTCGATGCGAGAAACGAAACTCCAGACGTAAACGATTTGATCTCGGTTTTTGAACTTTTTTCGAGTGTCCTCTCAAACGATCGGTCCTAGACGGAAGTAAAAGATAAGACATGTTAATACCAAGGTCATCATTCAGTATATGATAAGCCAATATTAGATCACCCCGTATTCGACGGTAAGATAACGGAAATAAGTTGAGGTGTCTCAATCTGTCTTCATAAGATAGTCCAGATAGACCTTGTACCATCTTAGTACCTCGTCGTTGGACTCGCTCTAGCATATCTGCTTCATACTTAAAACAAGGACTCGCTGCTTGAATCCCATATTCTAAATGTGGTCGCACATAAATCGGGTATAGTAATCTAAACATTTCATCATCTAAATACTGTAAAGACCTACGAATAGACCATAATACCCCATAGCCTTTCGCAGCAGCAGCCTTACAGTGACTAGTGATTTTGAGATCACTACTCAAGATGACTCCCAAATCTCTACAGTTTCTTACTTTGGGTAGTGCGAATCCACATATTGTATAGTGATACGATTCATCGTTGTTATTTAAATGCATCACCATACTCTTATTAGGATTCACTTCAAGTGACCACCTGTCTAACCATGCCACCAATGAGCTAAGATCATTCTGTAATACTATTTTATTCGACATACTGTGTATGGGTCTCCAAATTTTTATGGCATCAGCGAATAGTAGAACGGATGATTTTGCTACAGTTGCTAATTCATTTACATAAAGTAAAAAGAGAGGAGGTTCGAAGATTGTACCTTGGGGAACTCCACTTTTTACAGGTATCCACGAGGAAAGAGCCCCATTAACCCTTACCCTTTGTCTCCTGTCATGGAGAAAGTTACTTATCCAATCTACGACTGTATAATGGATTCCGAAGCGTTCCAGTTTGAATTTAAGACCAGAATGAGAGACCTTATCGAAATCCTTACTTAGATCTATGAAGATCGCATCTACAGGAATATTCTGATATTTTGCAGCAGCCCAATCTTCTCTTGCAATGAAAAGATTTGTTAAGCACGATAGGCCTCTCCGAAAACCATGTTGTTCCCTGGAGAAAAGATTATGCTTTTCAGCATAGTTTATAACAGATATCCGAATGATTGTTCCATCAGTTTTACAACTGCACTAGTTAAGCTTACAGGTCTATAGTTAGTAACTAAATCCCTACTCCCAGCCTCATACACCGGACTCATTATAGCGTCTTTCCAGTCTCTGGGCAGTCTGGACTGTTTCAGAGACATGTCAAATAGTATCGCTAATGGTTCAGCAATTACATCTGATATGGCTTTCATAATCCTAGGATGAATATTATCAGGATCGCTGGACTTATCAGGTTTGATGTGCTGAAGTAGCCTTAAAACAGTACCTTTCTCAATGACCGCAGGATCCATCAATGAGCCATCACGATCATAATGAATCGTTGGTCGTACTTCATTAGTGATTGAAAACACTTTACTGAAATATCCCGATAAAGCATCAGCTTTTTTGATATCATCTTCTGCCAAGATTAACGGATTTTCTTGTATCAAAAGTGACGGAATTCCATCACTTCTCTGAGTTCGCCTTTTTATATGTGAGAATAAACGTTTCAGACTATATCTAGAAACCCTAACCAATTGTTTTTCGTATGATCGTCAAGTCTTACTTATTAAAGCTTTACAGGCATTCCTAGTCTTACAATAACTGGATCGGTATTGTTCTAAGCCAGTGAAGATGAACATATTCCAGTGCTTCTTCCTTCTTCTAAGAAGTTTCTTAACTGGTTTAGTTATCCATGGTGGACTATTATTCGGTCTTCGCAGTCTGACTTACACTTGATTTATTAATTCCAGTTTCTTTTATTAGTCTGTAGAGTTGTCTTGTGTTCCCTATAGCCGCCGCCTTTTCCATCTCTTTTGCTTTCGTTACCCACCACTGCTCACGATCATTCCTTAGACTTTTGCTTAACCTAGATCTGATTTCTTTACGCTCTTCATCGTGTTCAGAACCTGATGGGATGAGTTTACGAGGATCTATCAGTGCAATAGACCTTGAAGAAATCCATTGGTTCTTTGTAACCCTGTGGTTTAAATCACTAGTAGATGTCAGTGCTGTTTCCACAGCTGCTTGTATGTCTTTCCAATCAACATCGGGGTCAGCCTCGTTTTCAGAACTACCTAAGTGTGAGCTCAGTTGTTCCTGGAACCTACTTTTGGTTTTCTCATTACTCAATTCGGTTCTAATGAGTCTTTTTTGTGTGGCTTTTTTGCGTCCAGTGAGGCGCAAGCAGATGCGTGCTCGTATTAGGGCATGGTCGGAGTCCAAACAGGTACTCCAGAATGAGCGACAATCTTCTATTGACCCTCTCCAACGATGACTGATGGCAATATGGTCTATTTGAGTCCATCGTTGGTTTGGTGCAGGTGGTCGCCATGTTACACGATGTCTCTCCTTAAGCTTAAAATTTGTGTTTGCTAAAAATAAACGATTGTCTGAGCACAGTTGCAGCAGACGATCACCATTATCTGTTCTCTGTGCCGGAATACTAAAATACCCACCTAAATGTCTTTCTGTTTCGTTTAAGCTACCTACCTGGGCATTAAAGTCGCCTGCTACGAGTCCTATGTCTGAACGTTTAGCTTTCTGAAGAAGTTCAGAGAGTTTTCTGTAAAATTTATCTTTCACTTCTGCGTAGACAGAAACGACGAAAAGGCAACGACGTGTGTCCCTATCCTTTCGGGTTCTTACGGAGCCGTTTAGCCGAACAGCGCATAGACGATTATTAACGGGGATCCACTCTAATAGCGCTTGTTCCGCCCTCATGCTAAGTGCTATGCCTACACCTGCAAGTCCACGAGAACTAGCCATCGGGTCGCCAGATACACGGAGGGTGTATCTCTTCGGCACTCCGTTTCGCCGAGGTGAGGTCAAGTGAATGACCACACTAGGATCCTGTATGCGTGTTTCGGAGACACAGCATACATCAATGGTACGAGATTCTAAGGTTTTAGCCAAGGAAGCCTGCTGACCGGTTTGGCGTAGTGTGCGTACGTTGAAGGCTCCAATGTGTAGTTTGGAGCGGGGTTTCAGTAGACCTGGGACAGTGTTTTGCGCACTAGAATCGTTGGCTGTGGTGACACTTAAGGAGGAAGCTGAAAGAGGGAGTTTAGATTTGAAAGTCGATGCAAGAGGAATAATAGGAATTGAAGAGGTAGGTTGATTATGAATACAGTGGTCTTGAGTGCTGTTAGAGGTATGAGGGCGGTTATCACTTCCCGGTTGCCCACACCGTGGAAAGTTCTGCTGGAAGTACCTGAAAAGGAAATTGGATTAGAGGTGGTCATAGTGACCTGAGAGCGTGACCGCAGTGCCCAAGGGACGGCTGCTTGAGGTCGGTCTCACACGACCTTTTTATGAGTAATTTTTGTGTTAGCTCCGTAATTGTTGAGACCTTACCGCCGGGGACGGATATCAGTGGGATAAGGCGAGGTGTGCATTTTTAGGGTCTACCTTTTCTAACCCCTCCCCTCCTTTTGGGAAGGCAGCATCGCTGTTATGCTGGTTGTCTGAAGGAAACACCTTACTGCTGTCACACCTCTGTATAGTCAGCAGTACGACTTCGCCTTCGGACCTAGGTTTTGTTGCTTTTAGTCTTACCGCTCTTCAACCGACCTGCCTGGCATGGTAGGACCTTGAGGAACGGTTGTTCCAGCCAGTATAGCTCAGTTGCTTCATAACGATAGGCAAGCCCGACCACCACGTCAAGGTAGCAACAACGGTCAGGACCATTATAGTAAGGAAAGACGACCAGACGCTGCTAAATCTAGCAAGCTATCAGAAGAGTGTTTACCAACGAAAAACTCGTTGGGTTTAAACTTCTGGCTGACCAGGGTATAATAAGTAACTACAAAACACTGGAAGTGGTTGTGAGACTAAGGTGGACGCCCGATATGCTTTTAATAATCTGCTGTTACTTGGGTCTCCCATAAAGTTTCATAGGGCCATAGTTATAAAGCTAAATGACTTTGTAAGATATGTGACGGTTCATTCCTGTTACATTCTCAACAAAAGATAGTAATGAATTTAGTCAAGAATGTTAAAAAGGTAAATAAACAAATTACATATTTCTAAGGAAAGAATTCATGCAGCTGTGATTTACCTCGACTTCATAGATATCAGATCACGCCAGCTAATAAAACTTGTGCAAAGTATAGCATCACACAGCTTTTATTATTTTGCTCCCACCTAAGTATTCCCATGCATCTACGTCCGGTTTTACAGGAAGATATACAAGTTGATTTGGTATCTGGTAAACTAAAAGTTCCAGCTGTCAAAAAGACTCTTCACACTTGTACACAGCCAGCAGCATTTAATTAAGACAGAACACTCCTCATCTAAGACTGTATACTGCTGTTTTGCAGGCAAATGAAAGCTCAGACACAGATATCCTGCTACCGATGCTATTGCTGCGGAAATCGTTTAATGACAGTGGTCTTTATACATGGACAGTGTTAGACGTACTATCTAGAAATAAACACCAAACGTACTTAAAGCTGTCAAATAATGTATGACAGCAACAGTACCAAATGCATTTTTTTCCTATTTTTAATCAGACTGATTTTAATCAGTATACACATTAGAAACAGGCAGCTCTACTTACTAAACTGATCTGTTTTGTTACAGGCTTCAAGCAATATACTTAAGTATACCATAATTCTTTCGACTAAACTGAATTAGTCTTCAGTCTTCAGTAATAAGGATAAGAGGTCTGTCGACCTG